CATTTAACTTATACTCGAAATCTGTTATTTATGAAATTATGTTGTCTATAGAAAAAGGTTGGACTTAAATTGGCAGAAATGTACAGAAACAGCAGAAAACACACGTATATATTATGGCTCAGTGGTATATCTTACTGTTAAATAGCACGTGCAAGGGCCACTTAATTTGAAGACAGGTCATTTAGCTAAGTTGAGCTCATGGGGACACTTTAATAACACTACCACGCAAATTGGTATACATATGAAGAAGATGGCCAATAGCTTTTTGTAACAGTGGATCATATTTTTTATATAAATATGTTTTAATTTTAATTTTTTTATATGATGGGCTTATAATAATAAATATTAATATTATTTTACATAACATTTAAGGTACAATATATACTAAACAAAAATATTATTAAAGTATTCTTTTGTTTTAATTTTTATAGTAATATAATAAGATTCCTTTTTATAATTATGAATCAGATTTATTGTTTTTTCAATAAAAATTAAAAATTTAATGTGAATATGGTTGCAGGCTTCAAAACAAATTATTTACTCGGATCGTCAACTATTAATGGTGATGATTCATACGCATATCTAAAATTAGTCTTCTACAGCTTGCTAACGGGTAAGTTTAATATATTTTGCTACTCTATTTGTACATATTTTACCATATGTTATTCATAAAACACGATTTGAAACATTTATACTAAAAGAGAATATAGTTCAACTTAAATCAGATTCACCAAAATAAAAGTAATTTCTAAAAAATGAGTGCAGAAAGTCTTTAAAGTCAAGCCAATTATTGTGTAGTGTATCTTTAGTTTGTATATAGTTCCTCGATTAGTCCGGTGTCAAAGAGATTTCTTGGAACAATATATATTATAATTAAAAAAATGTATGCATTAAGAGCGCTTGTTGTAAATAATAATGTAAGCGTTTTATGTGTCAAATATTAAAAGTCAGTCGTTAAGTATTTTGTTTCATCAAATAAAATAGCAAGAAAAAAAAGGACGAGAGAACGAAAATTAAAAGCACTTTCACAGATTTTAGCTTTTAAAAATGCCCTTCACAGCGAATAAGTTAATTTTAACAGATAAGTTGATATAAACAAGCACGCTGCGAGGATCAAGAGCTTAACGTAATCTCATACTTATATATTTAATCCACGTCGCATTTGAGTTACCCGAATCAACTTGGATTCGTTAAAAGCAAATACTCTGAATTATATGTTCATATTCATGCTGCTAATAAAAAGATACGCATTATAAAATGTATATATAAACAACATTTGATTAGCGTAGAAAGTAATGTGCGAGGAAATTTAACAGTTTTCCGACAGAAATTAAAAATAAAGAGGCACACATTGCCATATTATGTCAGTTAGAAATGCACTCTCGGGGGTGTCAGAGATTGTCGGATGCAGATGCGATGGTAGCGTTTCATTTCCGCATGCAACTGCATCGCAGATCCGCCGCTGTGGCTGTTTTGCTCCTGCCGTGCCGCCTCCAATTCGTGTCGCAAATGAACGTTTTACAACAGAAAAAAAAACGCAATTACAAGCAGTAACACAAAGTCATTACAATATTTGCACTTTAATTAAATCCAGCATTAAAACGCAAGGGCCGAATGAAACTCGCAAAATAAAATGTGTACAATTTCCTACGCGTTATTTACATTTTCCGTTCCGGCTCTTTTTTAGCTTTATTTTTGCGACCGGATAATTAGATAAATCCGTTCAGATATATGCGTGAACCCTTTTCACAGTCTTCTCGTTTGCTGTTCGGATAGGATGAAGTTAATTGCAATAAGTGGTTGGAATATTTATTTGCAACAGGGAGAGAGCGGATGTAATTTAAAGAAGTAAATGAGTTTTCTTTTTTTTGGGTTGAGCATAAAACTCTATTTGGTCTGGTCTTTACGGCGAGAGTCGTCCAGAGGAAATTCTCCATTCTCCGTTTATGTATACTTTATGTCCCTCGGCACAGAACTGGATGAATTTTCCATGTAGTCGCAGCAGATCTACTGCACACTAAAACTATTCCAGTATTTAGCTATATTTTTTCTTTAGTCTATACATTAAATAAGCAAAACATATTATCTCATATTTATTTAGTTAAGCTGAAGATATGGATTAATAATTTAGATAATTTAGGTGTTTAATTGATTTGTTGGATGACTGAATTTGAATGAGATTTAGTACGTGCATAGGACGATCGATGAGTCTGGAAATATAATATGTCTATTTTATTTTTACAAAATATTAAAGCTTCTTCCAAATATATAATTTTAATAGATTTCTACAATTTTGTTAAACTGCTTTTAGGGAATAATATATATTTATGACAAACTTATTACTTTCAATAAATGAAATGAGAGTAAAGTCTAGATAATTTTATATTATATTAAGTAAATATTTCTAAAGTAAGTTGTAGTTGATTTAAATATCAGATATAATAATAAGTATGCAAAGGGTACTGTTGATATTACTTAAATTATGGAATAATTGACGCAAAATTCCTATTATGTGACTGCTATCATTTTGTTTTTTTTTGATGAGAAGAGAAAAGTGGTAATCAGGATTAAATATTACGATAAGGTGCGAAATGTTTGTATGCAAAATTAAACGCATGCAGAAGGGGAAAAACAATTTGGGTAGAAGAGGCGTTGTGTTTAAAAAATAAATAAAATGACGCAAGACATGCAAAGTAAGGCAGAAAAAAATGTGAGGGTGAACGCGAAGGACTTCAAAGAAAACGAGGGTAACGAGTAAAGAATAACATCTCGTCGCAAATTATATGGGCAAAAGAAGGCTAAAACTGTAGTTGATGTAATTTTTCGGGGGGGCCAGGGCGCGCGGATGGAGCAGAGAAAAGGGGCATCCCCGCAGATCAATATCTAGCCGGGTGGCTGGAGCTGTTCCCATGGCAACCAGCTGCTGCGAGACGGTGTGACGCCCCCGATCCCGGGACCACCACGCCCTAACTAGGACAGAGCACAGAGCCACCCCTCTTCACATCCCTGCAACCCCGTTGCCGCACCGACGGGACTTTTCTCCCGCTGGAAATGTGCTTAATCGCTTTTCCAGTTGTCGTTGGGAAATTAATTACTACCGCACTAACGAAATTTTCTTTCCTTTCTATATACCTGCATTGTTACCGAAAAGCCAACAGACATTTTCAACACCAATAAAACCACGAACCAAAATGTACAAACTCAAACTTCCGATACACAAAAAATATTTGAAATCTTCAATTTCTTTCAATTAAACAAACTAACCGGAAATGAAATGATCATTTTTATTGTTAAAATATTGAACTATATAATAAATATTTTTTTTGATTTACTATATAAAGTAATTGATATTTAATGTTTGAATTTGTATCGATCAACAAAAATGTGATCGATTAGTCTTACTATATATAGCAAAGGTGCACTTTTTAATGCGTCCGTGTGTGAAATTGTAACAATAGAAATAAATGTAGCCTCCCGTTTCAGAGGGTGGCGTTTCTATTTATGTGCGCTTTGGGAGTAGCAATTCTTTGCCTTCGGTGGATGACGCAGCCTCCCCCGAAAATGGGGAGCGCGAGCGAAATACACACAGAAAAAAAAAGAAGATAATGCTGGAAACTGATTTTCCTTGGCACCGCAGCGCACGAAAACAGAAGCAAAATAATAATGGAGGGCAACAATGGAAAAGAAGAGAGCAAAAATTGTTGAATATAATCTGATTTGGGCCCCCGGAAGTCCCCATTATGTAAGTAACGTCTTAAGCTAATATAGAATGGTTGCCACGGGTTACGGGATCGATGATGTTCACCCCTGCCTGATGCTGCTCTATCCCGGGTAAAACCAGGTGACTCCCGGTTTATATGCAGTTCACTACAATAGTTCTGATCCGGGATCCACTCTTGCTTTAGCTCAGTCTCCACAGGAATTATCGTAACTGGAACTGGAGCCGAGGAGGAGTTGTCCACCACATGGTGACCGCTCATCTCCCCTCCGAGCAAGAAGCATCCCTCTTCTCTCTTATGCGTTAAGCACTTGACGAGCCCCCAAACGTTGCTCGTTCGTCGTTCATCAATTCATTAAATTTTCGGGCTGGGGCTGCTTTTATTTCGCCAGAACTCGGGCACTCAATTACGGCGCTTCGAATTTCCTCGAGTTAAAAAATAATTGGTTACAACATAAAAGGGAAATAGTAGAGCCTCTCTTTAAAAAAAAAATAACATAGAAAATTGAACAAAATTAATGAGATATCAGCGTATTAATTTCTCTTTGAAGCGCCGAGACCGGGCCGCCGTAATTAGCTTTATATTTCTAATTAAATTGACGTAATTTATTGCAGATATTCTTAATGCACCGCATACTTAATAATGCAATTCCACTCGGGAAAAATGGGATGTTGTAGTTGGTGCAAAACTTTTCCTCTTACCGGTTGCTTAATTACTTTTTCAAGCTATCTTTTATTTTTCAGTTCATCTCCGGAACAATTTAATATTTATATATTTTTATCTTCGAAATGATTAAAGTATATTATAAATAGAATGGGCATATTGTAAAAATACAGTGCAACTTAATTTTCATTAAAATATGTCTCCAGTGTACGTATATATAACTAAAATATGCATTTAATATTCCCTTCATTAAACGTAATATTAAAATACGACTTTCATTATATAAATTTACCGCAATACCTTTAAATAACAAAGAAATACTCCATGCAGATAATATAAAATAATTACGTTTATAATTAAAAGAAATAGGCAACTCTGTTGGAAAGAAACAAAGTTAGTCCGAATGTAAACGGTTTAAATTTATAACAAATCTGGACAAATTTATAACAAAAATTGTGATATTCACTTAGAAATAATTACATTAAAATTTCTTAGGAAATGCAAACAATCACTTACCTCTTAATAGAATACTAATATTTATAGTATTAAAAAAAAATAATAAATAAGACAAAAATCAATTTGTGATTTATAACAAATATAATATTGATAAAATATAAATTATTGAGATAGTTGACAAAGCATCGCAACGCCCCGCATCACCCAATGTTTTTGGGGCTTAATCGTTGGCAGGGTCATTGCAATAACAAAGTTGGTTGAATGCCCAGTAGTTGATAACACTCCTTTCCTTTCTGATGTTTTGTATATAGGACATAAGTAAGTGTGGCGTTCCTTGATATCCACTTTCTTCATCGGCTTCAACCAAATCTAAAACAACAAAAGCGTTTAATAAAATATATGAAAACTATATAGATTTAAACTGAACGTAAGGCATGGTATCGTATAACACTTTGGGAAGAGATTCATCCAAAACCATGGTTTCCCTATTCCAGCGAGCGCCGTCCAAGAATAAACCGTACACATAAACACCATCGTCCGGAGCTTTGTGCAGTTTTTCTTCTTTTCTCACCTAAATCAGAAGATATATAATATCATATTATTGGTATTGCATTAGCAATAATCGTACATCGTAATCGAATGCTAGTAAATCTATAGGAATGGTATATTTTCTAGCATAATTCTGTTGTGCTCCAGTTAAAAATGCTTGCGTAAAGAAAAATCCAGATATCCAAAATGTCTGTGGAGCACCTTTATTGAACCAAAGCTAAAAAAAAATAAGTCATTATTAACTCTATTAATTAGAAGGTTTAGCTGTCAATTATAAACCAATTTCAGTAAATCTGTAAAAATGTCTGCTCTTTGAAAATATTCAATTCACTTTATATTTAGTATTCTATTGTCTTATCATTTGAATATTCTTTTCTGCTTTAAATTGCTAATTTTTAAATTGCTTATTTGAATTTTAAATGTAGTCGGCGTCTTTAAATTTCCGAACAAGAATAATCACTTGCATTATTTCTTATTCTTGATAAAAAATATTTTTTTCATTATTATGATTACATTACGTTACCTGCAAGAAAGCCAGCCTCGAGAGAAAATCATTCACATAACTTCCTAGCGGTTTCAGAGACGGATAGGATTTTTTCGCCCACATATTCGGTATTTTACCAATCAAAACACTAGTGACGACCTCCTCTAAATCGAAAGACATCACAATTAAACCTGAAAATTTAACGTTTCATTATGTTTTCATTTTATAAAAAACGTCGAATATACCTTTTATTGCTTTTTTCACATTTCTCAAACTATCTCGAATCACGTTCAGCAAGTTATTAAAACGTCCCATCTCTTGAACTAGCACTGTGTTCATACTTTGAGAATATGAAGTTGGAAACTTTTCCATGGCTTTATCCCTATCAAAATTATCCGGCAACTTGTCCAAAATATCAGCGGCAACGTCAAGCACAATTTCATCTGTAGATTTTGCAGAAGTACCGCTAGATTGAGTATCCTAAATAATAATTAAAATATTAAAAACGTAAAATATAACCATTATTTGTAATATTGAATAATATAATACTTTTTTCTAATTACTTACTAATATCAATTTGAAAAGATCCTTTTTGTACGCATTTAAATATGTTATTATTATTGTATATATTTATTTGTTTAAAATAAACTTACCACGCGATCCTGGGTTTATTTAACAAATATAATTGTATGTATAAGTGTTTTAGGAAATTTTACAGCTATTTAAAAAAAAAGATTTTGTGTGTACATTACCTGAGTGAGCAAAGTGTTGGTGAACAACAGGCTAGTCTCCTGTTGATCTTTCATGATATCTGCGTTCTCGTTCATTCCAAACACCTCCGGATGAGTGATTAAAGGCAGCGATTTTGTATACGACATAAAAGCCTCGTAGTCTTTCTCGTCCGGGCAATAGTACTGGCCTTAAAATTAAAGTCAAAGTTACCAAAAAGACAAAACTAACAATCTTTTTCTTTTGTACCGGAAGGATCAAAGTCGTATTTTTCCAATTCAACGATGTCCTTACAGTAAAATTTCTGCAATATTGTAATTAAAGTCCTTCGATCCCAATCGTCAGTGACTCTGCCACCATAATTGCATTCTCCAGTCAAATATCGTAAAGCATCAAATTGCACATCCTGGAAAATAAATTATAACAATTCTAACAAGTAATATTATTGATCATTTGGATACATTGTATTCGTCCAAGAACATCTGTAACTGCATCACACTAATTCTCAAATCGGTTTCGTTAAACTCGTATTGAATATTCCAACCTAGAGGACCGAATTTCCTCCGCTCTTGAATCAATGCGTGGAAAAAGCATAGACCGTACAGGAGCCTTTTAAAGTTTCTACTCTGTTTGCAGCTCTCGAACCATTCCAAGTCCGATATTGGATCACTCAAATAGGATCTCGTTATATTCGCTCTCAGACCTTTCGGTGGCTCGTTTGTCATTTTCACGCCATTCTGCAGCACCAAAACCGGAAAATGTTCAGCCGGGTACGACGTCAGCCATAGTCGGAAATCGGGATGCGTCGTTTCAGAGGTAAAGTTTTCGCAAATCTGCGAAAATAATTTGCATTTAAAATACTATTCATTCGAAAATATCCGATATGAGAGGAACCTTCTCCAAAGTTGGCATAAAGCTTTTAGCTAAGTGGCAATTCTGCAGGACGACCCATGTGCCATTTTTAACTCCCTCGTCGATCAATCGAACAGCGATTGGTCCTTGACCCTGTCCCAAACTCAATGAGAACAAACGTGATGCACCGAAACCCTGATCATCGGCGAATTTTAATAAAACTGCCGTCGGATCTGCGCCCGGCGTTAAAACAAATATGAGCGGAATGCAGCAGTGGGAATCCGCGTAGGACGAGACCAAATCGAAAGGCGGAGGCTCGATAAATTGCTTTCCCAAATGATCTGTGACCGGAAAAAAAAACAACGGGGGAGCAAGAATAAAGTCCCATTCATTTCATTCATTTAGCAACGTACTTGCGACAAAATTCTGCACGCTGGGCACAACCTTATCAGGTCGCATGATCCGAATCACCAAAACCTTTTGGAACAGAGACAGTTTCGTCTCCCATGGGTCAGGTAATGGAAAATTGTGTGGCTCCGGCGCATCGAACAGTTGCCTCCATTGATCTTGCCTATTCGTGAAATGCTCCAAAATTCCGCTTCAAAGAAATAAATTTATCATAATTTAATTTAGTGTTTCTCTTTTAATAGTGTACTCATAATTATTCTATTAGTATCACCAATAGTAGCTTACTTGAAACTTGGATATTCATCTAACCTACATAACTCATCCCAACTTTTGGATACCAGCCAAGAGCTTGGATTAATATTTGGATTATCCAACCCAACTCCTCCAGTTAGCAAAAACATCCATTCGCTAGCGTCTATTTGATTACGACTTTTCATCAAATTAATATTCAATAGTAAAGAAAACAGTAATTTATCCTATAACATATAAACATAGTAGAATACATTTATGATATAAATAAGTTCAATACCTTTTCAAATAAACTACGACAAATATTTACATATAAAGAATATGTAAAGTATGTTTGTAAAATATTCAGCCTTTCGTTGACATCTTCGACGTGTTCGGTATTGTCAATTGCCGAACGGAACAAATTCATAAACCAAATCAATGAATATTGATACATCGGATCGATGTTGGCCAAATCCGCTAGAATTAGTATGCTCAACGTTAATAAAACTGAGAATGTAACACATGCGACCACGAACCGATTGTGAAGAACAAAATTGCGGAGTGAACTGCAATCGGGGTGTACTCTAGTCGAGCAGCATCTATTTGCCTTTCTGTTATTTCAGCTATAGCTTGTTTTGCCGCAATTTCATTCGATACGGTTTTCGAAGAGCTTAAAATTTGCACGGCTGTTTCATCTTCCAGAATGTTACCCTCCGATTCACTCAATACTTCCAAAATTCGATCCTCGATTTCCTTTAATAATCTTTTGTTTTCGGCGCTCTGCAGAATCATTTGGTTTTTCTCAGATTCCAGATCAGGTCGTTCTTTTGCAACTGTAATTCCTAACAGTTGATCTTCCAATCCAACTGTGGTGATCATGAAATTGACTAGAGTCACTTTAACTGCAACTTCGGGCATATAGTGGGGATTCCTCAATTTTGTAGTTATGTAGAATCGGAAAGCCGTATTGTATTCAACTATGGTATCGCCCAATTTTAAACACAGCGCTCCGCTCTGTTTAAATGTTTGTTGTCCCAAAACGGGCTCTAAAATGGCATCCAATTCTTCACCGATATTCTCTAATAAGACTGGTTGACCAAATTGAATGGCGTTTTCCAAAATCCGGACGTAATCGCTTTGATTCAATCTGATGATGGCAATGTTATTGGCTTTCTCCATGTTCTTTACCCACTTGTTAGCCTGTCCTTGAGGATCTATCATTAAAGCCCATCTTCTTGCATTCCTGAAAATTACATATAGAAATCCAGATTTCATCAACAAAAACTACTAGAAAAGAAATACGTTATAATAATTCCATTATCAATACTATAGCTGTCTGATGGTAAACCAAAGATATTCCACTGCCTAATGACTACAGCTTCTCCTAAAATAGCAGTGAGCTGAAAATCCTGAGCGCAAACAATTCCATAATTCGTCAGTAAAGCAACCCATTCTTCAATTTGCTTCACTCTAAACAACATTGTAAATGGTCCCAAATAGGCGACAACTGCTGAGCTGATTAATACATCACCTATAACATTTAACATAAATTTCAGCAATACAACTAAAAAGTGTATTACTTATATTACCAGTTAAAACATGATATCTTTGACCTAAACTTTTAGCAGTTGCTAACCAACGGCCTTTCTCGCCGCCCAAACCTCCAATCAACTCTTGCGCTCTTTGCAACTTTAAAGCACATAGAGTCACTTCAGCATTCAACCCATCCAATTTTTTATTTTCTGCATCCAATGTCACTTCCAAATTGGCAACTCTTTCTCTAGCTGCCCGCAACTGAGCCCTTTTTATTTCTAACTCGGCCATGCACTTCTGGAAATCTGATTCAGCCGCCGCCAAAGCAATTTTCTTTGGTGCAACAACCTTGGCAACTTTGTCATATTTCGATATGGCAATGGTCCACTTGCACAATCCCTCGCAAGCCGTTGACACGTATTTAATTTTTTCAGGATCAAAATTCTCATCACACAAAATCTTTTCTGACAGTTTTTGCATAACTCTTGGAGGAATGTTATCTTTGTCGAATTGCAATAAACTATCTAAGAATTTCATGTCACCAAGTACACGTTTTGATGGTCCCCAGTAATCGTCGACAGTGCCCATACCACTTGGAGCCGGCACACGATCAGGTTTAACGTCTTTCAATATGCATATACCTTCCATGACCAATTTTATTCCTTTTGGTGGATTTTTCATTGTTTTTACGATTGTAATATCGGCCGGGGTAAGAGTATTCAAAGCAGCCATAGCCGCTTCCAAAATTGGAAGTGCTTCTGCCAAGTTAGCATCGCACTCATCTTTTATAGCCCCTGCCGCTTTTGCCTGAAAAAAATAGTTTAACCAAATCGTAATAATTAATAAATTCATTAATACCTGTTCATTAGCGATAGCTTCATCGATCATAACATTTTGCTCGACGATAGCAGCCTCCGCAGTTTCAACTTCCACCTTCTTCATAGTTAGAGCAACGGCTTCAGCTGCTAATACTAAAGCAGGCTGCAGAGCGGCCAAACTAGTTTGCATAATTGAAATTTGCGAACCGGCATGCTCCAACTTCTCTAAACCAATTTCATATCTTTTTTTGCCAACCAGAATTTCGCTACATAATAATAGTATTAACATAGTGTCACTTCCATAACTCTGTAAACTTACTCTCGCTTTTTATCCAAAAATGATTTAAACGTACTTATAAGTTCTAAATACGATGTTGGAGTTACGTATGTTTTCCTTTTCAATCTAGACCAAAACTCAATAGAAAGTGTTTCTGTGGATGAATGAAAGAACTGACACATTTCAATACAAACGTGTCTCTCTCGTTTTTTCAATTCAACCTCGCCTAAGAAACGAGTAGCCACTGCCAATAAAGCATCTTCAGGCCACGGCTAAAATTATGCATCACAAACATGTTAAATGTTGCATTTATTTAACTCACCTGAAACCAATCGATAGTGCAACAGTTCACAATAGCAGGGAACTTTCGTATTCGATTTCGAAATCCATCGCCGATTGGAGACATAGCCAGAACGACGTGCAACTGGTCACGAATTATTTGAATAAAGAAATTGAACAGAGCCACTGGACTTCCATCTGTTTGCAAGGATTTATCCCGTTGTCTATCTAACTGTCGCATCTTCTCGCATATTTCAATCTTCTCGTCCATGGCAAACAGATTTGGCACTTCACCAGAGTTTAGCAAATTACTTATATCTTCCAGAAATGATTCTTCTTTTAACTATATTAATTTGATTTATCAGTACTTTATTCAATTCAAGAGCAATATATGAAATTTACCTGCGTATCGGTGAACAGAAATATGGCATGCTGATCCGATGCACTGGCTTTTCTCAGAATCACTTTTATGTCTTCGTGCCACTCATAAGCTCCATATTGTCTAGTTAACTCCACTTGAAACAGCTCGTATTCTGAAATATGCGCCGCCAAGCGAGTTAACGATTGTCTTCCAGATCCTCCCACGCCCACCAACAATGCATGGTTTCTAGGTTGCTTCACAATCCTACAAATTCTAGTCAGATGCTCGATTGCAAATCTAAAATTACAAATTTATTGTATAACATCAGTTTATTATATAATTTAATAAAAAAAATACTTACTGAAATAATACTAAATTCATTGGTTTCTTTGACATAGAATTATATTCACGTAAGTAACCTTCGACGACCTCACGTAACATTTCCAAATCATCTACTTCCATGTACCATCTATGATCATTGATGAAATCGCAGTAAACTAATTCCCGCAATTCCATTTCTCCGATTTTATAGGCTTCTATTCCAGTCAGAGCGGTTTTCGAGAACCTGGACTTATTACGATATAATTTTTTAAATAGCGTATTTAGATTTTCTTCCAATCTGCTACGCGCAACATCGTGCAATGTATTATATAACCAATCTCTATCAGCGTCGTCTACTAAACGATCTGCATACACTCTTAATATTTCATGAACCCATAGTCGCTTGAAAGAAGAGGGATCTAGCATCGTCTCTGGTACCGAAAGCAAAACACCCTTAAACATAATTCAAAAGTAAAAAATGAATTTACCTAAGCAGAATCAAATACCAAAATAACTCTTGAGAAATCACGTAAGTTGAAAAGATAGTGAGATTTTGCAGGTGTCGGGAGTAAATTTTTACGACTTAACTTATATACATCCAAAGTTGCTGGAACTATCTGTTCGACGATCATATCAAAATGTCTTGCAAAACCTCTAAAATATAAATAAATATTTGATATAAACTGGATAATATATAGGAATGTTTCCTTACTGAACTTCCAAGTGCCAGTTCATGATTTTGGTATAAATGCTTATCATGACTTCATCGGGAAATTCATCGATACACACATGGTTGAAATGTCGCAAAAACCTTGGTGTAATAGAATTAGCTCCACTAGTAGGAGGACCCATAGCACAGATAAACTAAAAAAAATAGTTATCCTATATTGCACAAAGAATAGCAACTTATAAAAATACTTGTATTTCAATCAATTTCATTGGCACTATCTCTTTGCGATCGTACCAAATTTGATGATCAAACCACTGTCTCAGTAATTCTATAGGTGGTTGAGCACCATACGTTTCTTTTAAGGGCATGCTGACATCATCAACAAATATGACACTTTTCTTTCCAACTGGTGGACCATAGACACCTAAAAATATTATATTTGAGAAACCTTGAAAATTATGTATATTCATTGTTAACACCTTTACGTCTTTTATCTAATTTACTCATAATTATATCCTGAGTTTGGTTAGCCGATGTTTGCGCCGAAAAATTTATGAATAAAGGCTTATACAGATTATTATCATTCTTCTTCAAAAGAAAATCCTAAAATAATATATTAAATGCATAAAATGCAGTAAAAAAATAATGTGAGAAATTACTATAACATAAACCGATTTCCCAGTTCCAGTTGGTCCAATAAACATTGCTGCTTTTTCGTGCGTTACGAAGAGTTGCATCAGAGCCATATTTCTAACAGTTTCGATCGTCGGGATGATTATTTGATTGACAGGTATATCTTTGGGAATTGGAGGGAGGTTTTCAAGATCATCAGACCATTTCACCCATTTTCCTTTGCTCTATTTATAATGTAAACAATAATTATTCTAAACTTAGAAGAATAAAGTTACTTACTTCTTTTATGTATCTATAGTCGAAAATAGTTTCAGCAAGGGGTAAACCAAATATGTAAGGCTTTTCAGGTTTTTGAATTTCAAAGGGTATACCGAGATCTTCTGTAACTTCCTCCGGAAATTCCTTTTCCAGTAAACCACGGAACATTACGTTGAACTTTTTCCTGCTCTCTCCATCTAATGTACCTCCCATTCCCCAAATGCACGAAAAGAAAAACACACCTTCTAATTGTGCGCGCACATCTAAATCGCTTATTTGTTCAACATATTTTTCATCCTTGAAATCATCGAGGAAACAGTCGAAAATATTCATTGTAGATCTCATAAGATTAGAGTCCGAAGTCGGCGACATTTCCTGACAATTATAACAAATAAAGAAATATACACATAGATATTAGTATTACTAACCTTAACACCTCCTTTCCTTATAAGCCACAACAAAGGATCTGCAAATCTTTTGAATACTCCTTTCAACATGTTTTTGGTGAAATCCGTTATCGTTGGTGGTAAAGTATTCAACCAAGATTTCAATAATGGTTTCCAGCCTAAGGAAAGAGGTTCTAAATAAATCATTCCACACCTTGAAACCTAAAACGAGTTTTTCTATTATAGATAATTTCATATAAATTATGATTTGTTGACGTATTGAACATACAGTTGCTGGTGAAGCTACTTCCAAGTCCATAGGTTCAAAAATTAAATTTGTCGTTGGTGCTAATTGGATAATTTCGCCAGACATCAAGCACAGCTTTTTATTATCATCCAGCACTGTATTCATATTTTCAATCCATATTGCATCAACAGGTCCATCAAATATTAACCATTTTCTAAAAAATGTAATTATATAAGTATTTTATAGAATACAATCGAACAAAATTTACCTTTCGGTTGTTGTGGACATAGCAAATTGTCGGTAACTAACAGCCAAAACACCATCATACCATTCGTGTGAAACTGCATCGAATTGACCGTACAGTTGTCCCATAGTAATAGACTTAGGATTCATCACTGTATAAATGGCTCGATGCTCGTTCATTCCACCCTTAAAATAGTGAAAATAATATAATTTTCGAATTCAATTATGCAAAAACAAACTCGTTCTTCGATTAATCCCAAGGCGTCAGCTAATACTCTGTAGCTAGTAGTTTTTCCTCCGAATGGTAATCCGACTAACATTAATCCATGTCTCACGATAATCATTTCATATAGTTGCTGTATTTTTTCCAACAAAAATGGTGTATTCTGTATATTAACAGTTTTACATGTATCATCAACTGCTTTATTTAATATTTCGTAATCCGGTGTTGGCAGGATCACACCAGGAAATAAATCAGATGTAATACCCTAATAATATCATGTGTAAAATCATACATTAAAAGTTCAATTAAATTTACCTGAAATAGAGGAACATCGGGAACTAAAAACTTTGCCAAATTGACATCTTTAATAGATCTTAACACCAATATATCTTCCTTTTCATTTGGATAACGTAATTTCAAAGTACCAGCTGCTCGAAGTACTGACTTAACTGCTCTCATACCTACAAAAGTATATTAATATTAAATAAAGTACTATACTCTACTAGTTACCATAATCATAGTGGCACTGAGATGATAACTGCTCTGAGCACAATCTGTAAGTTGCTACAATTTTAACAGCCATTGGTTTTGCATCCAAGAATCCATAGGAGTATAACTCAATCTCGGATATTAAAGCGTAATCCGGAACCATCATAGCAACCGATCTAAACAATGCCTAAAATATAAGAAAAATTAAATATATATTCATTTCTATTTGACAATTCACTTTTAGATTATCGGGTAATTCCGATCTTCCTGCATAACCAGGATTCATGGTAATAAATACAGCGCAAGACGGATCCAAATTCAATTCAGTTCCTTCAAAAATGAGCTTTCTGTTACCGGAATTAATACCTCTTTGAATTGTTAATATCTGTTGTGCCACCACTGAAAGCACCTCCAGATCAATTCGGTTGAACTCATCGAAGCAGGACCAAGCACCGCATGATGCAAGACCCTATCAAACAACAAATGTTATGAGAGATATTCAATATATAAAATTGTGATAATACCTTAAAGAATTTGCCCAGAGCTATGTAATCTAGACCGTCGGAGCAGTTAAATACAACACATTGTTTTGCAACGGCTTTGGCCAAATCTTTTGTAGTTTCTGTTTTACCAGTTCCTGCAGGTCCTTCAGGAGCACCACCTGAATTATGTTTTTGTTATAACAATGGAAATATTACAACACACGTAATTACCCAGATGTAGATGAAGAGCTCCAAACAAAGTTCTGAAGCATCTATCAGTTAAGGGTGTAATAACTAATCTTGCGGTATTTCCTAAATACTCGTAGCCATACATCAATGTGGAATTTATCATTCTTGTTGCCATTTCATTCATCTCCCAATAATAACGAATTTGACATAACCATTGGAAATCATTTGTATTGTTAACTTCTAAAGATATTAATTCCGATAATGTATCTCTGGCATGCACATCGAGTACCACTAAAGCACCTAAAAAGTTTAAATTAAAAATATTATTTTTAAAATAGAATTATTTTATAAACATACCTAATGTGATTCTGTTTTGTAAATTCAATCTTCCTCGCACTAAATCTACCACTTTAGATATTTGGAAATTACATTTTCGCAAATACTCTTTCATTGCTGGTACATTTGTTTCAATTGCTACATGGACTTCCAAAGTCCAATACGCCATAGCAACACATTGAACCTGAAACATATTTATATTAATATATATTGTAATAAATTTTAATAAAATTACCGTTTGTCCTGGCCATTTGAGCACCCAAACTTGTCTATCGCAGTGAGGATAATCCTCGGTAGCATCTTTAACCATTTTATGGACTGACTTTTTCATATCTGTTTCAAGTTCCAATAACCACTTTTCTACCTGTCCCCTAGCTAGTGCAGTTTGTATAACGTCGACTAACAATACTGATTCTCCTTCACTGGAATTCATCATAGTAACATCCAGATCTTCAGTGAATTCCAAAGTAGCAATTCCTTCGAAACATTTCTTAAGATGAGGTTGAACTCTAAAATAATAATAATGAAGGTTATTAGATCATAAGCTACCATTAATTCTGATAATACCTTGTGGGATCTTTAGTTTCCGAAAGAATTTCGAGTAATTCATCATTGGATAAAAAGAAGAATCGCGGAAAATAAAGGCGTTTCTTTTCCAAATAGTCATTAAGTCCTTTCTGAATAACATCCAATAAGCTGCTGCACTTCTTCAAGCGTTCCGACATTTTGTCAATCTCAATAACTGAAAGTACTTTTGGGTCTGCAAAAACACTTTTCATTATATCCCTCCATATCTATGAAAATAAACAGTCTCTAACTATTACTGCTATAAAATGATAATAATCATTACTTTATCGACTGACGAAAATCGTCGTCCTTCTTCGGGCATTTGCTGTTGGATATCCGGAGACGAAAAGATTGGTTCTAAATACATCCAAGTTCCTTGAACTCTCAACCAATCATCCAATATATCTTCTAGCAACATAAGTTTATATTCCCATTGCCTGTAATTAATTTCTTATTGTTTATTAATTAAATAGTTCATAATATACTAACAAAATTTCTGCTTCGAATGGTTTTATGTAAGGAGAACTTTTCATTGTTTGAGTTTTGATAATGTGATCATCCAAAAGCACTTGTATTTCATCGATAGCCGAAATTATGTAAGTTCCAGTATCTCTGCAATTATAAGAATGTAAAAATAACTAAAAATATATTCCATATAATGAAAGGGCGACGCCGCAAGTATTTCAAAAAAGACGAGAATTCATAAATTTCCGGCCGCAAATATGCCGGCAATTTCAGTGACTACCTTTTCTTCATATTGCGCTCAATAAAAAATATATATAATACTTGTATATTAGAACTGAAAATTCCATTTCCGCCCATTCGCCCATCATTTTGATCAGATTCCTCTCGAGGTTGTTTTCTTTGGTCGCGGCTTCGGAAATAGCTTCGAACTCGCTGATGTAATCATCCAATTCGTAATCAATGATTTTGGCAAGAGTGAGCTCGTTGTCGACCACAATTGGAAACCCAACGATTTCAGATATTTTAGCCCAATGTCTTGGTTTCATGCCCGGATTACCTAGCGTTTGAATTATGGGCATGTTCTCCTTGAACTCTTCAATTTGTTCCCTGACCTAAATATGAAATAATTCAATAGAAATAAAATTAAGCAATTTAAAGATATTTTTACATTCGTTGCAAGACCATGCGTTGCTGGTCGATCGACAAACTGCTTTTCTAATTTATAAACAGTTCTGTAGTACTGTGCAACATCCTGATCGATTTGTTCTGGTTCGTGAGTTCCAACAGTCGAATTCATCCAAAGTTCATATTTTTCGGTGAACTCTACAGCATTATCGTATAGAGATTTGTAAGGTTTCAATTTATCATGAATGATCTTCCTTTGTGGATACTGTGATTCTTCAAGCTTAAACGAAACTTCCTCTTCATTAAAGGCATCGATTCTCTCCATTGCCGTAATCAATCTACGAATATTAATATATTGTAGCTTACATTTGTGCAATGAATTATAATTCTAAATAACCTGTTATCTAATTGAGTTGCCTTTTTATGATATTTCGGTAACTCTTCAATATTTCCATTATATTGTAATTCATCGACCATTCTGGCATAAAGTTCTAAATCTTCAATGAACTTCTCTATTTTTGTTGCCAATAATTCTTGGAATTCTTGTGTCTTTTGATCAATTATTTCCCTATTTTTTTCCAAGACTTTTGGCATATCTAAAAATCTATAAAATGTATCATTGTTCTGATCAAGGTCTTCTTCAGTAAAGAGATAATGATCTGATAAAAATAATATATATTTCATCACGTCCCTTAATTTATCTTCCATCTCTAATAAATCCACATCAATTATTTTATTCGTTGTTGCAATCAGAGCCATTAATTCCGCAGTATTATTAGGTATTTTTAATATTTTGATTTCAACCAATTTATATTCTTCCCTTAAACTAAAATATATTTTGTAACATTTTATATTTTTTTTACTTTCATTATACTTGCTGTTTGCAATCAATTTGATAATCGTCAATCATTTTGCGCAGTAATTTTTGCCGTAACGATTCAATTATATCAACTATGCTTTTTATTAATTCGCTACGATGAATATCGAACATATCCACTCTGACAACATGCTCAAGGATAATTGGTATGTTCTCAGATTCTTCCTTAAATTCTTCAATTTGCTCACAATATTCTTCGAATGTATGTTCTTCGTCCAGAAAACCATTCATTGCAATTTCCGCCTATAATATAACTTGTATTACGTAATTAATAAATATTATTATAAAGTACCTTTCCGGTGAAGTAATCTGAATAAATATCAAAATCTAAAACGTTTGCATAAGGGCCTTTCTTTTGATCTTCCATAACATGCAACAATTCTACTTTGTAATTTTTTATTAGAAGTGGATCTATGATTGGCTGAAACGTATACAAAAGTTTAATCATTTCTTCTAAAGTAATTACAGTAAGTATACTCGAAGAATGACTACTTCTTCTTGGAAATCCAAATACAATTGAGACTCCAATCTGGGAACAAAATTCGCGGTTTTGCAAATATCATCAATCACTGCAATTACGGCTTCGGTAAACTCATTTAAGTTTGGCTCGAAGACGAGCGATTGTCCCTTTAGTAATAGCTTAACTTGAAAGCCGACGTTCTTATATTTATAGTCTTTGATATAATCAACGTAATCATAGAGTGATTTCATACATAACTTCTGCATATTATAAGTCATCAATACAGCAACGCAATTGTAGAATTGCTTTAGAACTGAACGGTTGGCCGGATCCGGCAATTTATCTTCCTCGTGTCCTTTGAGGAAGATATCCACTACCACTTTGAAGTATTGATAGGTGAGAATGTCTTTAACCCTTTGTAAATTTTGTCCTATATTGGTTTTGAATTTTTCCAATGTGAAAGGAATTTCATTGCTCATCAACATATCCGGTTCAATTATTCTTAATTGCCTAGAAAATATGATGTAACAAACGATTTGTGTATATTATCATCTAGTTACCTAAAATAAATGTACCAAAGGTTGATGAGAGCATGAATGCAAGGATTAACAATATGCAATCTCCGTAATATTTTTGCTCTGGTTTCAATGAAATACTCCCTCCACAATATTGTGTATATTTCAATTTCCTTTCTTTCCTTCGTATCGAATTCCACTGATGATATTGACGAGACGGCTGGATCTGACATAACAAATTCGACGATTGACCTCTTGATAGCCGTTATGTAATCTTCCTTCATGTTTTCGATGGCCGTAGCCAAAATGTCTCTCCATTGTCTCAATTTTAGTGGTACGAGAAATAAAACCTAAGAGAATTGTTAAAATATTAAAGTAATTTGAAAACAGCTATATTATTGCCTTATGCAAAATGGTTTGCTCCAAAGGTGCCACGTGTATTGTATCAGATCCGTGGTTTACGTAATAATTATAACGTCTAATACAATTCACATTCTCTCGAATTGATGAGCTTGATGTCGAGCTGCCTGAAATTGTCGAAGGTTCGTCATCTTCTTTAAAATTGATAACATCGACCAAGTGCTTTCTAAATTCCTCTTTTCCTTCCCTCAGCTGCGTAAAAGTTTTATGCTGCAATGTGAATTCCTCTGCGAATTGAGTAATTAAGAAACTATTATTCGCGATAAATAAGTGAGTAATATACCTTTGCGCTTTTTTTCCGCCAACTGCTTTTGAGTTGGTCGCAAAAACTCCGGAGGTAAAGTAAAAGATGGATTGACGTGCGCTTTGTATTCGTCTGGTAATACAAGACGAGGAACTTTAACCCTGCTCGTCTGGTAATTCTTATCTAAACGAGCCTCGGTTTCAGCAATCTTTTTCAAAATTCTTTCCTTTTCTCTCTTCCTCGCAGCAGCCATCACTATGTCCTTTATATACTGCACGTACTACACATACTTGTAAAGTTTTGTATAATCGATGAAACGTTATTGCAAACGCTGTCAACACTGTTTGATGTTTGAAAAGGGTTTCTATAGTAATTTCAATCTCAAAGTTTCTTTTATTTTTCACAGATTTATTACATTTCAAATAGTATTACTGAGACAATTGACAAAGCATTGCAACTCCCCTCATGACCCAATGTTTTTGAGGATGCAGCGTTGGTAAGGTCATGGCTATAACAAAATTGGTGGAATGTCCAGTCGTCGATAAAATTCCTCTCCTTTCAGATGTCTTGTAAACTGGACAGAGATACGTTTGGCGCGCAACAAGATCGACCTTCTTCATTGGTTTTAACCATATCTAAATTTTAAATTAGATATAAGAAATATTAAATAAATATTATTTTGATTCATACATATGGAACTGTGTCATATAATACTTTCGGCAAAGACTCGCCCAAAGCCATGTTCTCTTTATTCCAACGAGCTCCGTCCAAAAACAAACCGTAAATGAACACACCATCGTCCGGGGAATAATTCAAAAAATCCTCTTTTCGCACCTAAAAAATATTCAATATTATTCTATTAAATCAATGACCTACGTAATGTTCGAACCTCGTAATCAAAAACTAGTAAATCGATGGGTATTGTATATTTTCTTGCGTAGTTTTGTTGAGCGCCAGTTAAGAAAGCTTGCGTGAAGAAAAATCCGGATACCCAATATGTTTCTGGCGGACCTTCGTCAAACCATTTCTGTTGATCATATAATACCCAATCAATCTAAATAAATTACAGTTAATACATTTATATGAATTATTACCTGAAGAAACGCCAATCTCGCTAAGAAGTCGTTCACGTAACTTCCCAAAGGCTTCAATGAAGGATACGATTTTTTAGCCCACATATTTGGTATTTTACCGAGCATAATACTTGTAAAAACCTCCTCGATTTCCACGGACAAAACAATCAGACCTTACGCAAAGTTTATTTAAAACGGATTATCTCTTAGCAAGTTATATTATTTACCTTTGATGGCTTTCTTCACATTATGTAAACTTACTCTAATCACATTCAAAAGATTATTGAATCGTCCCATTTCTTGCACCAAAACTGTATTCATGCTTTGCGAATACGATGTTGGGTACTTTTGCATGACTTTATCTCTGCTAAAAGCCGGTGGTAGTTTGTTTAAAATATCCTCGGCTACTTCCTGCACAACTTGATCTGCGGTTTTTGTAGATCCACCAGTAGCTTGAGTATCCTAACATAAACTTTATTAATACAAATACCAGCCTAATTTAACTTAATAACCATGTCTAATGAAGTATATTGAATTCATGGAATCAAACCATTATTTGTTACTTACTCTAAGCAATGCCTGGATTTGCAATTTAATAACAAAAAAAACCATAAAAATATTGAATATTGTTATTTACAATTTACTAACCTCCCGTTTAATGATATCCTATTTACAACGTGCATTATTAAAAATAAATTAAATATAGATTAATCAATATTATTGAAGTACTTAATTTAAATCTTACCCAACGGTCCTAATAATGTATGCAATTTAATTTGAATGTGTTAATAAGTATTTGAGGTGATGTAAGTTTAGTAATATTCTGATTATAAATAAATACCTGCGTTAATAAAGTATTGGAGAATAACAAATTAGTTTCTTGTTGGTCTTTCATAATGTCAGCATTCTCGTTCATACCGAAAACTGATGGCTGCGTTATTAGAGGTAACGATTTGGTATAACTGATAAAGTTCTCGTAATCCTTTTCATTGGGGCAGTAGTAATGACCTAAGCAGAAAATAAATAAATATCTCTTAATTAGAAATCTATCGAACTATGAACTATTTACCGCTCGGATCGAAATCGTATTTTTCATCTTCCACTATTTCCTTGCAATAAAACTGATTTAGTATTGTTATTAATGTCCTTCTGTCCCAATCATCGGTGACTCTACCGCCGTAATTACATTCTCCGGTCAAATAGCGCAATGCATCAAATTGTACATCCTAAAATCAGCAGAGTTTATATAACGGTATTAAAAACATTTAATTAATCCAACATCATATTCATCTAGAAACATGTGCAGCTGCATAACACTAATCCTGAGATCAGTCTCATTGAATTCGTATGGAATATTCCAACCGAGAGCGCCAAACTTTCGCCGCTCTTGCACCAACGCATGGAAAAAGCAAAGTCCATACAAAAGTCTTTTAAAATTGTCACCCTGCTTGCAGCTTTCGAACCACTCAGGATTCGATAAAGGATCACTCAAATAAGATCGAATTATGTTCGCCCTTAATCCTTTCGGCGGTTCGTTAGTCATCTTAACGCCGTTCTGTAATACCAAAACGGGAAAATGCTCTGCAGGGTAAGACGTAAGCCACAGCCGAAAATCGGGATGAGTGGTATCCACCGAAAATCCCTCACATATCTAAATTAACATAATTACATTTTCATGGTATCGAAAACTTACATGTAATGGAATATTCTCACCCGTTCCAACGTCGGCATAAAACTTTTTGCCAGGTGGCAATTTTGCAGAACGACCCAATTTCCATTTTTCACTCCGTCGTCAATCATACGCACTGCAATCGGCCCTTGCCCTTGTCCCAACGATAAAGAAAATAAACGGGAGATTCCGTACCCTTGATCATCGGCAAACTTTAATAAAACTGCAGTCGGATCGGCGCCAGGTGTTAAGATAAAAATTAATGGAATGCAGCAATGAGAATCAGTATAAGAGGAAGGCAAATCAAATGGTGGCGGTTCAATGTATTGTCTCCCCAATTCAGCTGTAAACGAAATTTTAAAAAATCCCATTTAATAAGAAAATAAACTGTAATATATAAAATTACTCACAGAGAACAAAGTTCTGAACAGCCGGGACGATTTTATCAGGTCTAATACAGCGTAAAGTTAACAATTTCTGAAAAATATTTAGTTTAAAGTTCCAGGGATCCGGTAGCTCGTGATTATGCGGTTCCACCGCGTCGAACAATTGACGCCACTCACTCATGTGTTTGGCGAAACTAAGTCGAATTCCCCTAAAACATAGTTAATTGTTAGTTTTCAATTCGAAATACAACCGAATCGAAAACAACTTAAAAGCAGGAAACTCATCAAGTCTGCACAGTTCATCCCAACCGCTGGAAATCAACCAGGTCGATGGATTTTCGTTTGGATTATCCAAACCAACACCACCGGTCAACAAAAACATCCATTCACCTATATCAATTTCGTTTTTGCTCTTCTTTAGGTTTATCGTTAATAACAAAGAGAATAAAAGTTTATCCTAATAAAATAAAAAATAATAACAAATAGAATACAATAATACACAGATATCTTACTTTTTCAAATAAACTCCTACAAATGTTTACGTACAACGAGTAAGTGAAATATGTTTCTAAAATCTCTAAACGCTTGACAACTTCATCCACCACTTCCGTATTATCAATTGCAGATTGAAACAGATTCATGAACCAAACTAGTGAATATTGGTACATGGGATCGATGTTTGCCAATTCAGCTAAAACAATATCATTGAAGTAATCAATATAATAAATCACATTATTTAAAATATACCTATAGTGAAAAATAATATAGTTGAGTGTATTGCTATTGGTGTATACTCCAAACGAGCTATATCTATTTGCTTCTCTGTGATTTCAGCAGCTTCTTGTTTGGCCGCAATGTCATTTGATAAAACTTTAGACGAACTTAATATTTGCACAGCGGTTTCATCTTCCAAGATGTTTCCTTCAGACGTACTGAGTATTTCCAAAATTTTATCTTCAATTTCCTTCAGCAATCTTTTATTTTCTGCGCCTTGAATAATCAATTGATTTTTTTCACTTTCTAGATCAGGCCTTTCTTTAGCAACAGTAATTCCCAAAAGTTGATCTTGTAGCCCCACAGTAGTAATCATAAAATTCACTAATGTCACTTTTACAGCTACCTCCGGTAAATAGTGCGGATTTCTCAATTTCGTAGTTATGTATAAACGAAAATCATTGTTAAATTCAATTACCGCATCGCCCAATTTAAGGCACAGGGCGCCGCCCTGTTTAAATGTTTGCTGTCCCAAAACCGGCTCCAAAATTGCATCCAATTCTTCTCCAATATTTTCTAAAAGTACCTAAAATATTATATTTTTTAAAAGAGAAGAGTTTATAAGTTTTGCTAAATACTGGTTGTCCGAATTGTATGGCATTTTCTAAAACCCTAATGTAATCCGTTTGATTTAGCCTAATAATTGCTAGATTTAACATTTTCTCCATATTTTTAACCCACTTATTGGCTTGCCCTTGGGGATCAATCATTAGAGCCCATCTTCGTGCATTCCTGTCATGATTAAAATGTAGTATATTGAATTATTAGATATATAATTATTTTTTACTTTATAATAATTCCGTTATCTATGCTATACGAGTCCGACGGTAAGCCGTAAATATTCCACTGCCTTATAACAACTGCTTCCCCCAAAACAGCTGTGAGTTGGAAATCTTGTGAGCAAATTACATTGTAAGCTGTTAACTGGGCCACCCATTCTTCTATTTGATTCACTCGGAAGAGCATTGTAAATGGCCCTAAATAGGCCACAACTGCCGAGCTTATCAAAATGTCACCTAAATGATAATTAAATATTATTTATATTATAAATGGAACCATATTAAATACCAGTAAGCATGAAATATCTTTCGCCCAGTGCTTTGGCGGTTGCGCTCCATCTAGTTTTTTCACCTCCTAATCCACCAATAAGTTCCTGCGCTCTTTGTAATTTCAAAGAACACAGATTGGCTTCATCACTGAGCATCTGAAATTTTTTCTTTTCGGATTCCAAAATAGCTTCGAGTTTTGCGACACGATCTCGAGCCTCTTGAAGTTGTGCTCTTTTTATCACCAAATTCGACATAGCCACTTGATATGCAGATTCTGCAGCTGCCAAGGCAATTTTCTTTGGAGCCACAATTTTTGCCACTTTATCGTACTTCGCAATGGCTATAGTCCACTTGCATAGACCCTCGGCGGCAGTCGAAACATATTTTATCTTCTCCGGATCAAAATTTTCATCGTGCAAAATCTTATCGTTTAACTTTTGCATTATTTTTGGTGGTATATTATCTTTATCAAACATTAATAGACTTTCCAAGAATCTGATATCACTTAATACTTTTTTCGATGGTCCCCAATAGTCTTCCACTGTTCCAATTCCACTTGGAGCAGGGACTTTATCTGCTTTTACGTCCTTGAATTAAATAAATTTAAATATATATATATTGTTTTACATATCATTTAAATGTCACCTTTAATATACAAATAGCTTCCATAACCAATTTTATACCTTTCGGAGGATTCTTCATAGTCTTTATAATAGCAATATCAGCTGTAGTTAAAGTATTTAAAGCTGCCATCGCGGCTTCTAAAATTGGAAGCGCCTCCGCTAAATTTGCATCACATTCTTCTTTAATAGCTTGAGCAGCTTGAGCCTAAAATACCATTGTTAACTATCTATCAGAAACATTCAATGTATTTACTAACCTGTTCATTTGCCAGTTCTTCATCAACCATAACATTTTTCTCTACAATAGCCGCCTCTGCTGATTCCACCTCGACCTCACCCAAAGTTTTAGCAACAGTCGCTGCAGCTGCTACCAAAGCAGGCTGCAACGCTTCTAAACTAGCTTGCATTACTGAGATTTCAGCTCCTGCATTTTCCAATTTTTCCAAACCAATCTCGTAACGCTTCTTTCCAGTTAAAACCTCACTTAAAAGAATGATTAGCATCAAAATAAAAAACTAATACCAATATTCATTACTTGCGCTTTTTGTCGAGGAATGTCTTAAAAGTACTTATTAACTCCAAATATGATGTTGGAGTCACATACGTTTTCCTTCGTAAGCGTTTGCAGAATTCTTCGGAGAGTCTTTCCGTGGACGTATGGAATATTTGACACATATCTATGCAAACCTTACTTTCATGTGTAGTTAAATCCACTTCATCAAGAAATCTGGTAGCAACAGCTAGCAAAGCATCCGCAGGCCACGGCTTAAATTATGATTAATATGAAATATGTAGCATAATTTACTTTTAGATATAAACACCTGAAACCAATCTATTGTACAGCAGTTGACAATGGCTGGGAATTTTCTAATTCTGTTCCTAAAACTATCTCCAATTGGAGACATAGCTAACGTCACATGTAATTGTTCCCTAATTATTTGAACAAAATAGTTAAATAACGCCACAGGACTGCCATCAGTTTGCATGGATTTATCCCGCTGTCTATCTAATTGTCTCATCTTCTCACAAATTTCTACGCGATCTTCCATCGGAAACAAATTGGGTATTTCTCCAGAATTCAGCAAATTACTTAAATCTTCCAAAAACGATTCTTCTTTGATCTATATATAACTCATTAATATTCATTAAATTATAAATTTCTTTTTGATTAGCACCTGTGTATCTGTAAAAAGGAATATTCCATGCTGATCCGTAGCGCTAGCTTTTCTTAAAATGAGTTTAATATCTTCGTGCCACTCGTATGCACCATATTGTCGTGTTAATTCTACTTGGAAAAGCTCATATTCGGAGATATGTGCGGCCAAACGTGTTAAGGATTGCCTTCCCGAACCTCCGACTCCGACCAATAACGCATGATTTCTAGGCTGCTTTACTATTCTGCAGATTTTCGATAGATGTTCAATAGCAAATCTAAAATTTTTAATCATGTATTATAAATATATATTGTATTTACTAATGTATTTTACCGAAATAGCACCAGATTCATAGGTTTTTTAGACATGTTATTAAATTCTTTGAGATATCCTTCAACTATCTCCCTCAAAAATTCTAAATCTAAGACTTCTATGTAGAATCTCTGATCTGCTTTTGGATTAGCAAAGTCGCAGTAAACCAGATGTCTTAATTCAGTTTCTCCAATCTATTGTAAAGACATATATTGAAACAGCTTTTGTACATAAGATACTTACTCTAGTAGATGTTTTTGTCATCAGCCTATGGAACATTTTGTTTAAATTCTCGTCCAATCTATTTAAGGAAACTTCATGTAAAGTATTGAACAACCAAGACTTATCGGTATCATCAATCAAGCGGTCGCAATAAACTCTTAAAATTTCGTGCACCCAAAGTCGTTTAATTGCTACCATATCTTCAGTTGTCTCAGGTACAGACAATAAAACGCCCTTCAAGATAAAAGTTCTGATTGATAATTATACAATATATATTATATATCTTTATACCTGAATAACTCTGGAAAAATCACGCAAGTTAAATAGGTAATGTGATTTAGCTGGAGTGGGTAGCAAATTAACACGACTCAGCTTGTATATATCTAACGTAGCTAAAACAATTTGTTCTATGCATGGATCAAAGTCTTTGGAAAATCCTCTAATATAATAATAATAAGTTTTTCATTAAGTCTTTCATTGTATGAAATGTGTAAATACCTAGTATCCAGATGCCACAGCATTATTTTACTGAAGACCATAACCATTACTTCATCTTGAAACTCATCAATACAAACATGATTAAAATGCCTTGCAAATCGAGGTGTGACTGTATTACGACCATCACCCGGCGGTCCCATTGCGCAGATGAACTGTAATAAAAATAAAAATAAAAAACATGTAATTTATATGATTTAAAAATATGATAACACAAATTATACCTGTATGTCAATAAGTCTCATTGGTACAATATCTTTACGATCGTACCAAATTTTATGATCAAACCACTGTCTTAACAATTCAATAGGCGGTTGTGCGCCATAAGTCTCTTTCAATGGCATACTAACATCATCAACAAATATGACGCTCTTTTTACCAACAGGTGGTCCATAAACACCTAGAAGATACAATATTTTTAATGAAAACCACTTTATATTTGCCGAGGGCGTTAATAAAATAAGAATTGTTGTAAGTACCTTTGCGCCGTTTATCCAGTTTGCTCATAATAATATCCTGGGTCTGATTCGCCGAAGTTTGAGCGGAAAAATTTAAAAACATTGGCTTGTAAATATTATTATCATTCTTTTTCAGTAAAAAATCCTAAAATAAGATATCAATGATTTCAGTTTTCATAATAAGATAAGATAATAAGTTTTACGTAAACATAAACGGATTTCCCTGTGCCAGTTGGTCCAATGAACATTAGAGCTTTTTGATGTAGAACAAGCAATTGCATTACAGCGATATTCCTAATTGTTTCAATAGTTGGAACAATAATTTGATTAACGGGAATATCTCTGGGAATAGGTGGCATAGACATGAGTTCATCAGACCATAATTTCCATTTACCTTTACCCTAAAACCGCTTGAATGAACACAACATATTACCATCAGTAATTGATTAATCAAACCTCTTTAATATATCTATAATCGAAAACAGTTTCACCAACTGGAATCGTGAATATATACGGTTTTTCCGGTTTTGGTATATCAAAAGGAATTTTCAAATTTTCAATAGTTGACTTGGGAAAATCCCTGTCCAACAATCCACGGAATAGTGCATTGAATTTGTGTCTACTTTCGGCATACAAAGTTGCTCCCATTCCCCAGATGCACGAAAAGAAAAAGGAGCCTTCGAGTTGAGCTCTCGTGTCCAGATCATTTGTATTCTCCATAAATTTCTCATCATAAAAATCATCCATAAAACAATCAAATAGATTCATAGTGCTTTGTAATAAATTTGAATCCGACGTCGTAGCCATTTCCTAATAAAAAATAGTATAAAGCAATAAATACATTATGTGCTAAGTACATTAAGACATTACAGAAACACCGCCTTGTCTAATTAACCATAAAATTGGACCAATAAATCTTATAAATAAGTTATAAACTAAATTTTGAAAATCTTCCAAAGCCGGAGGCAATGCATTAATCCAAGACTTTAATAAAGGCTCCCAACCTAAAGACAACGGTTCTAAATATATCATACCACATCTCGAAACCTAAAAAAACATATTATATATATATATTTTTTCTATATTTATACAATTGATATACGGTAGCTGGAGAAGCAACTTCTAAATCCATAGGTTCAAATATTAAATTAGTCGTTGGAGCTAATTGTATGATTTCTCCAGACATCAAACACAGTTTTTTATTATCGTCTAACACGGTGTTCATATTTTCAATCCAAATAGCATCGACGGGACCATCAAAAATTAACCATTTTCTATTAAAGATTATTAAGCAATTTCATTTATTTCCTCTTCTACATTAAAAATTACCTTTCATCTGTTGTCGACATTGCAAATTGTCTGTAGCTAACAGCCAGAACTCCATCTGACCATTCGTGTGAAACTGGATCAAATTGGCCGTACAATTGACCCATCGTAATTGATTTTGGATTCATCACAGTATATATAGCTTTATGTTCATTCATTCCACCCTACATATATTATATAGAATATTAAAATCTTAAAACCCACATTTAAAAAAAATCTTACTCTTTCTTGTACCAATCCTAGTGCATCTGCTAAAACTCTATAACTGCAAGTTTTACCACCAAACGGTAATCCCACCAACATTAATCCATGTCTGACTATAATCATTTCATACAACTGTTGGACTTTTTCCAAAAAGAAATCAGTGTTTTGTAAATTTTGTTCGTCGCATGTATCTTGAATGGCTTTATTTAATATTACATAATCGGGCTCTGGCAAATTGACACCAGGAAACAAATCCGAAGTAATACCCTAAAATATAAATAGTAAAAAAAATAATATTTTAGAAAAAATAACTGTTATACCTGAAAGAGTGGCACGTCGTGGACAAGAAATTTCGCCAAATTAACATCTTTGATAGATCTTAATATTAAAATGTCCTCTTTTTCTTTAGGATAACGCAACTTTAGCGTACCTGCAGCTCTTAATACAGATTTTACTGCTCTCATACCTAATATTAAATACAACATCAACCACCATTATTTCTATAAAAATATTGTTATTTACCATAGTCGTAATGGCACTGTGATGATAACTGTTCAGAGCATAATCTATATGTTGCTACTATTTTCACGGCCATTGGTTTAGCATCCAAAAATCCATACGAATATAACTCAATCTCTGAAATTAAAGCATAATCCGGTACCATCATTGCCACTGACCTAAATAGCGCCTGTAATACAAAGATAAGCATTCAGTATAATACGATGAATAACATTATATATTTTAGTTACTTTAAGATTATCCGGTAATTCTGATCTACCAGCATAACCGGGATTCATGGTAATGAAAACGGCACAACTTGGATCTAAACTTAACTCGGTGCCTTCAAATATTAAAGTCTTGTTTCCTGAATTTATGCCTCTTTGTATAGTAAGAATTTGTTGAGCAACAACAGATAAGACTTCCAAGTCGATTCGGTTAAACTCATCGAAACACGACCAAGCTCCGCATGAAGCTAAACCCTAAAATATTGGGAAATTAAAATACAATTGAATACCGAAATACGATTACTTTAAAGAATTTCCCCAGAGCAATGTAGTCCAGTCCATCTGAACAATTGAATACGACGCATTGTTTCGCAACAGCCTTTGCTAAATCTTTCGTTGTTTCAGTTTTTCCAGTTCCAGCAGGGCCTTCCGGTGCTCCTCCTTAAATGTAATCAATATGTTTAAATGATGTTAATATTATTAATCTACAAATAAACCTAAATGCAAATGAAGTGCACCAAATAGTGTTCGAAAGCATCGATCTGTTAGCGGTGTAATAACTAATCTAGCAATGTTTCCCAAATACTCGTAACCATATTTCAACGTTGAATTTATCATGGATGTGATTAACTCATTATGCTCCCAATAATATCGAATCTGACTAAGCCATTGGAAATCGTTCGTGTTTCCCACTTTCAAACCTATTAATTCGATAAGTACATCTCTTGCATGTACATCCAACACAACGAGTGCTCCTTTAAATTAATGTAAAATTAGATTGTAGTTAAAAAAAAATATTCGTACCTAATGTTATTCGATTCTGTGAACTTAAATTTCCACGGACAAGATCAACAACTTTGGAGATTTGCTTGTTACATTTTTTTAAATAATGTTTCATGGCATCAACGCTCACTTGTATAGCAGCATGTACTTCAGAGGTCCAGAAGGTGCAAGCTACAGCTTGTATCTGAAACGAGTTATATGTATACAATGCAGAGTTGCATAATACAATTGCAGAGAGATTACCGTCTGCCCTGGCCAAATTAAAACCCATCGATCTCTCGGCCTTTGCGGATAATCATCAATCGCTTGCTGAACTGTCTTATGGACGGATTTCAACATATCGGTCTCGAGTTCTAAAAGCCACTTTTCTACTTGACCTCTCGCTAACACCGTATGAATAACATCTTCTAATAAAACTTCCTCCCCTTCGCTAGATTTCATCATTGTAACATCCAGTTCCTCTGTAAATTCAAGTCTAGCAATTCCCTCGAAACATTTTTTAAGATGAGGCTGCACTCTAGAAAATTAAATAAAAGATACATAAGGAAATGATAATAATACTAATCATATTTTCAAACCTTGTGGGATCTTTAGTTTCGGAAAGGATTTCCAAAAGTTCGTCATTCGACAAGAAGAAGAATCGAGGAAAATATAAACGTTTCTTTTCCAAATAATCGTTGAGACCTTTTTGAATCATGTCCAATAAGTTGTTGCACTTTTTCAGCTGCTCAGACATTTTATCAATGCAAACAACGTCCATAACTCTTGGAAATTCATATACTATTCCCATTATCTCTCTCCAAATCTAATAGTATTGAATATTGAGTATTATTTTTTTTTTATATTAATACATTCTTACCTTGTCAACGGCAGTAAATCTTCGTCCTTCCTCTGGCATTTGCTGTTGGATATCAGGAGATGAAAAGATCGGTTCCAAATACATCCAAGTGCCTTGCACTTTCAACCAATCATCCATAATTTCTTGAAGTAATTCTAATTTAGCTTGCCATGCGCTAAAATGTTATATTCTATTATAATTGATTTGTATAAATAAATTAAACTTACAGTATTTCTTCTTCAAATGGCTTAATATATGGTGAATTCTTCATGGTTTGCGTTTTAACAATATGATCATCCAAAAGTAATTGTATTTCGTCTATTGCAGAAATAATAAATGTTCCAGTATCCCTAAAAAATAATTAATTTTAGTAAAATCTATTTAAAAAATAAACAACCCTTTTACCTGTAAATCAAAACAGAGAATTCAACGTCTTGCCATTCCTTGACCATCTTAATCAAATTCCTCTCCAAATTATTTTCTTTGGTGGCCGCTTCAGAAACGGCTTCAAATTTATCCAAATACTCTTCCAAACCATAATCCAATATCTTTCCCAATGTTAAATCATCGTCAACCACTATAGGGAATCCAATGATTTCCGATATGTTTTCCCAATGTCTTTCTTTCATTCCAGGATTTCCAAGTGTTTGTATGATAGGCAAAAATTCCTTGAAACGTTCTATTTGAATTCGAACCTAAATTCAAACATATATTATTAGATATTTCTCATTTCTTTCATTTTCTTAAACTAACCGTATTTGCTAGCTGCTCGGTTAGAGGTCTGTCGGCAAAAACTTTTTCTAATTTATATATTGATCTGTAAAATTGACTAGTTTCCGTGTCGACGTCTTCCGGATCGAATGAACCGATTTTCGAATTCATCCACAAACTGTGTTTTCTCAGATATTCCATTGCATTATCATAAAGCAGTTTGTATGGTCGCAATTTGTCATGAACTATTTTCCTTTGCGGATATTGTGAGAGTTCAAATTTGTACGCAGCTTCTTCTTCATTTATTATATCTATCTTCTCCATCGCTGCGATTAATCTGTTATCTAATTGCGTCGCCTTCTTGTGATATTTTGGAAGCAACTCGATATCTCCATTATATTGCAATTCACTGACCATGTTTCCATAAATATCCAAGTTCTGAATGAATTTGTCAATCTTCGCTTGCAAAGCTCCTTGGAACTCTAGAATTTTGGTATCGACTATTTCATTGTAATCATCTAAAGTTCGCACAATTCTCAAATAGCTAAAACGAATGTACTTTTTAGCATATTATCTTGAAAATAGCTCATTATTTACGTACAACCAAAAAGTATTGTTGTTTTGTTTCATCTCAACTGGAGTGCATACAGTGTGATCTGAAAGATACACCACATACTTCATAACGTCTCTCAAACGATCTTCCATTTCAGTTAAAACGACATTTTCTACATTATGAACATATTGAATTAGTTTCATCAGTTCTGCAGTGTTAGTAGGGACGGTTAAGGCAGTATCAATGATATTCTGATATTCTTCTCCTAAACTAAAATATAAATTATATTCAAATCAATTATTTATATAATTTTCAAACAAATAACTAAATATGAATAAAAAATTTTAGTTAAAATAATAATCTAATTACATTATACCTTTTACAAACCAGTTGATAATCATCGGTTAATCTTTTTGTTAACTTTTCACGCAGAATCAATGCAGCTTCGACTAAATCTTCAACCAAAGTGAACCTAAGCATATCATACATACCAATAGTAGATATATATTCAATGGTGAGAGGGATCTCATCAGCTATACTTTTGAGACTCTCAATTTTCTCACAGTATTCTTCAAAAGTGTGATCATCAGTTAGAAATGTGTCTACTTCGTTCTCTAGCTGTAACCATTTATTAATTATATGAAATGAATTTCTTTCAAGTTTTTTATCCTTACATCGCCATTCACCAGTGGCATGTAATCATCGAAATCCTGGACTCGTAATTCTGGTCCTATTCTTTGTTCGTCCAAGAAATCTTTTAATTTTATCTTATACCCGATGATTAATTCCTCTGGTATTAACGGCTAAAACATTTTCTGTTTTTTTTAAGAAATTTTATTAATATACTTGACTGACAGTGAGATGATCCATTTCTTGAAATTCTTCCAGTTCATCGTCAAGAATGATTGGTTTAATTGTTGGCCCTGGTTCGATTCTAGGAAATATCATTACAGCTTCGCATATATCGTCAATCACTTTAGTGATTGCTTCTCGAAAGTGTTTGAAGGGTGGTTCGAACGCCAATATTGTGACTTTTTGGACGAGATTGATCTCGAATCCTCTATTTTTTAACTAAATGACAATTTTAATTGAATCTAGAATTTCTTGTTCATGTACTTACTCTAACGTCGGTAATATAATCCACATAATCGTAAAGAGATTTAAAGCAAAGTATTTGTAAGTGGTGCGTCATAATTATATTTATAGCTTTATAAAACCGTTTTGTCGCCTTCACTCTACTTAATGATGGAATTTTATTCCTCTTTGCGCCATTTAATAAAATTTCAGCTACAGACTGATAATATTCATCTATTAGAACTTGCTTTCCGTGCTTAATATGTTCGCTCACGGTCCAATTGTAGTCGATAAGTTCATACGCTTTATTTTTTTGTCTTAAGAGTTTAGTATCAACCAATCGAAAATCGCTTTAAAAAAATAATAATATAAGTAAATCGTTTTGAAAAGAAAAGTCCTTAATTACTTAAACTTGGAATGCCATAGATCGTTCAAAGCACAAATGCATGGATTAATGGAAATAATTATTTTCGATATTTTTGCCCTAGTTGCATCATAATTTGGTTTCCATTCCACGCTGTGACTTGCCGCTTCGATTTTCTCGGGGGATGCAAATTCATCAACATTCGCAATTTCTAAATTTGCATCTTTCAGAACAAAATCTACAATTGATTTCTTCATTGCCAAAATGTAATCATCGTTCATGTCTTTTATAGCCTGATCTAGCGGTTCCTTCCACATCTTAAGTTTCTTATGAAGCAACCTCAGAATCTGCTCAAACGAACACAAATGATAAAATGAAAATGAAAATAAACATAAATATTAAGATTTATTACTCTTTGCAGAATGCAATCTTCCAATGGAGCTACGTATGTATCGTCAACTCCGTGACGAATGTAATAATAGTATCGCAATGTCTCGTTTTCCGTTCTGGTTATGCAATGTTTATTTTCCGAGAGCACATCTTTGCCAGTGATCAATTTCACTAAACGATTGCGAAACTCTTCCCTCTGTTTCCGTAATTCGGTGTAGGAATACATTTTCTTAGCTTGTTCCTCAGCTGAAAGATGGTATTTATATGAATAATTTGTAAACCGACGACCGAAAACAAAGTACCTTTACGCTTTTGCTCCGCCAACTTCTTCTTGTATGTTGGGTGAGCTGATGCATAAATTGGTTTAATGATTTCCGGTGGTAAAGAGAATAGAGGTCTTCCAGCCACATTGAAGTCTTCTGGTAATGGATATCGTTTTTTCCGTGGCGGAATATATCCCTTTGCTTCAAGCTGTACTCTTTTCTCAGCAATCTTCTTAAAAAGTCGTTCTTTTTCAACATCTCTTGAAGACATCGTACAAACTTTTATTGGAAACAAACTGTTAAGTAATTAATTAGTTTCATGTGTAAATCGTTTCTTTTATCTTTTAAATATTTCAAACAAAGACTCAATCTTTGAAAAGTAATGTAAATGTTAAAATCTAAATAATAAATTAAAGCACAAATCATATTTAGAAGATAATAAATTAACAAAATTGTATATATTTGATTATTAAATGTTGCAAAAATTTGAATTTGAAAACCATTAACTTTCGCCTGACGTCACGTAGATATATGCACTACATAATCGTGTTAACTAATTTTGAGGTTATCTACATTTAAACCCGAAATTCTAAGCAATTTAAAGGTAATTTTATATAACAAACCTCAATAAATGTCCATGAAATAGTTTATAAAACAGCACTTGTAAAGAGAACTCTACTTGATGTGTACAAATTCAATCAATACCTCACTCAAACATCAAATTCACCCCCCATTTCATATATTTATTTATTTTCCATGGTAACAGAAGTTTTCCATCACCATTTGTACAGTAACATCAAATTTTCTATATGGTAATTGATAATAATTAATGTTATTCTTCTGCAGATGATTGGCAAATACTTTGTTCGGAAACTCCATACATCTTTCTCACTATTTAATGTGGAAAAATCCATGCTGGCTACCTTACGTAAGAAAACTGGCTACACATTCTCCAACTGCAAAAAAGCACTGGAATTACACAACAATGACTTGACTAAAGTGAGTTAATAAATGAATAGCATACAGTGAAATGAATTTACATTGTTTCAGGCTGAAGAATGGTTGAAGCAGCAAGCTCAAAGCTTAGGCTGGTCCAAAGCAACAAAATTACAAGGCAGACAAGCCACTCAAGGATTAGTAGGAGTTTTGATTAAGAACAACACAGCAGCATTAGTAGAAGTAAACTGTGAAACCGATTTTGTTGCACGTAATGAGCATTTCCAAAATATGGTACACAATGTTGCTAATACTTGTATTCAGCATGCACCCAAACCTCAGGGGGATAGAATTGTTAAAGTAATTATTCTTGTATAGCAAATACAGTTCATTTAATGTATTTTCCATATATTACAGGTATGTTTTGACACTGAACAGCTGAAGGACTTAAAAACCAATGATGGTAAATCATTGTCAGACCACTTGGCTTTAATGATTGGAACTGTTGGAGAAAACGCTGTTTTGAAAAGAGCAATGTGTTTTAAAGTAGATGACAATGTGCATTTATCCTCATATGCACATCCAGCTGGAAATAATGGAACTGAAACACTGATGGGCAGATTTGGAGGGGTAATTGCATTGAAACAAAATATTGATAAGGAAGTCAATTTGGACGAGTTAGGAAAAAAATTGTGTCAGCACGTTGTTGGACTAGACCCCAAAAAAGTTGGATGTTCATCTGATATACCAGAAAAGAATGTTGAAGATGAGACGTGTTTAATTTATCAAGAATATTTACACGACGAAAATTTCAGTGTGAAGGAAATCTTAGAAGAGAATGGTGTGGAAGTTGTTGACTTTAAAAGATTTGGATGTGGAGAAACTGGCACCATGGAACAGCCATTAGAAAATGTCGAAACTTGTCAATAAATTTGTTAGATCAGAAACACTGTAGATACAAAAAAATTAATAAATTGTAAGTCAAATATAATTGGTAGCGTTTCCATGTATAATTTATATTTGTTAATAATTTTATAGATATATAAAAATAATTACATTGATTACAATTATTAGTTTACAAAATTGAAGAAAATATCGTTTGGAAATAATAATTTATGGCCATTATATAAAATAGTATATTTAATAATATTTAACATTGATAACGAATTAATTATTTAACATTAATTATTAACAATACTTACAAGATGATGAGTATAATTGTTTTATAAAAACAAATTAATCTTTAGACCTGATATTATGTGATCTAATATAATTAGGAACTATCTCATCCAACCATTCCCTTTCTATCGTAGATATACCTCGTAAATAGCATTTAGTAGTTTGCACAACTTCTGTGAATAGCAGCAAAGGAGGCAATTGGCCATGCAATACTGAACTGGGATGAATAGTAACTACTTGCCGTTTATCCAACTAGAAAAATGAAAAAATTATAATTTTTCCAAGCAATATGTACGTATAATACTCACTGTAATATATTGTTTATCTTTGTGAATTTCTGCTATATTAGTGAACAACCCTGTTAGTAAACATTTCCTAACTTGATCCATATTGCTGCCGCAACTAGATACAGGTATCTCGCATCTTCTGCACACGTCGGCCAATTGTGTACGTACTTCACGTGCGTAAAGGATGTTTCTCATGTGAATATAATTATCCCGGCACCAGCTCCTTTTATTATTTTGACTAATATTATTAAATTCTCTGTATATATTTAAGAGTGTTATATGATCTCCAAGAGCAGAACAATATTTCTGTCTCGAAGTTTGAGCTTGTTCCCTTTTCGACGGTGGATTCAAAAATATCGACTCGCCACTCATCAGAGCGACAATAGTCAAAGCCTCTTCTAAACAGCCATAATTTTGAGCAGATAGTAACACTTTACTGAATCTCGGATCCAAAGGAAATTGCGCCATATTTTTACCCAGAGGTGTTAAATCAGACTTATCAATGTCGTTGATAGCTTCGAGCCTCTTTAGTTGTTCAAACGCTGCACGGACGGCATCTTTTGGGGGTTTATCCATGAAGTCAAAACGCATAGCATGAATTCCAAGCGCCAGCAATTGAATCGCTACAGTTGCTAAGTTTGCTCGCTGAATTTCAGGTGTTGTTGTTTTCTGCATCATTTCAAATTGAGCCTTCGTGTAAATGCGATAGCACGAGCCTTCCGCTTCGCGTCCTGCTCTTCCTGTTCTCTGCCAAGCTTGCTCCTGCGACGTCCTTTGAATTTTCAATAAATCCAAACCAGTAGAAGGATGGAACGTCCTAAAATAAAACAAATTATATATTTATTTTAAACAATTTAACGATAAAACTACCTGGCTTTAACCATTCCACTGTCAATTACATATTTAATTCCACTTATTGTTACACTAGTTTCAGCGACATTTGTACTTATTATTAATTTTCTCGTGTTAGGACCAGCTGGTTGAAACACAGTCATTTGCTGAGTGCTTGGTTGAGATGCATACAAAGTGCACACCTTTATTGGAGGACCTTCGACGTCAGGATCCTTAGCCAGAATTTTTATTTGATGCGCGACAGCTTCAATTTCCTCTTGGCCAGTTAAAAACATAAGAACGTCATGACTGGAATAATAAGAATGTTATAAAAATGATACAAATTTGAATAGTGAAAAACGCACTTGGCCGGAGCCTCCCTATGGATTTTGAAGAACGTTGCAATACAAGCTGTCTGGTAATCTTCATGAGTGGTCTTTGTGTAAAATACATTTACAGGATATGTTCTGCCTTCCAAATAAACTGCTTGGCAATTATTAAAATATTTTGAGAAATGGTCAACATCCATGGTTGCAGACATCAATAACACCTAATAAGAAAGAGAAAATATAATATTTTTCAAGAGTAACACTTCCATTATTATTACCTTGAGAGGAGTCAATTTCTTTTCTTTTCTATTTTTTTGAGCATCTTTCACAATGCCAAATAATACATCAGTATGTATGGTCCTTTCATGTGCTTCATCCAAGATTAATACAGTATAATCCATCAGCAATTTATCTGCAATTGCTTCCCTGAGCAACATTCCATCAGTCAAGTATTTAATTTTAGTGCGTTTCGAAGTGACATCTTCAAATCTTACTGTATACCCAACAATCTCACCAACACCTAACTACAAATAACAAATAGATTAATGAAAAAAATAATGATTGATTTAAATGTACATACTGTGTTTCCCATTTCTTGAGCAACTCTTATAGCAACACTAACAGCTGCAACACGTCTAGGCTGGGTAATTCCAATTCGTCCATTATTTTGTAAACGAGCAGAATGGATAAATTGTGGAATCTGAGTTGTTTTTCCACTACCTGTTTCTCCGAGAATAATTAAGGTATCATGTTTTTGAATCAAATTCAACAGTTGTGCTCTCTTTTGGAAAACAGGCAACTTCTTCTTCTGTTCCTGGATATCAATTTTACTCTTTCCATTGGTAACAGATAGAGAATTTGTTTCAAATTTGGTATTATTGAACTTAATTTTCTTTGGAGAAGAAGGTCCATTTTTGGAATTAAATATAATTGGTTTTGGCTTTGGACTTAGATGAAACTTCTTCACACTCTTAGATCCAAGCAAGTCATATTTTGAATCCATGCTTCAATGTTGCAGGTTATGTTATGACTATCACACGTGTATTGAATATTGCACTGAACAAAAATATTATTTTCCACTTACTAGTAACTACAAACTCATTTTACGTTCTCTAATTGTTTAATAACAATTATTACTTTAATTGACAACTAGTGGTAACTTGGTATAATGTCTCCAACTGTATTACCAGTTTTGGAGGGTAAATAGTAAATACAAATTTCTCTTTCCCTCCCACTGATCCATTTGAACATAACAAACAAAATTAATTTTTTCCGTTATTAAATAACATAAATGAATAATGCAAGTAACGCATAAAGATTTATATTTTTTTGTAAAATATATAATGAAAACAGCAACAAATAATAATTATTACTTTAAGTAGGTTTAAAATTTGTACAGCTCCATCTGGTTTTTAAAATATTATAGAGATCTGTAATTTTGAGTTTAAGTTAAGCAAGTGCACACAATTGACTCAAAAGTAAAATGGCCGTTCGTAGTGCCATAAGTAAATAATATAAGGAAGAAAATTTATTTAGTGTTGAGTTTATTATCGAGTAGAGAATAATGTATTGTGCGTTTCGGATGTGACTGTGACAACGGGAACTGGCGTGTCGTGAAACACTAACTGCTTCAGGAAACAGGAATGCCGAGGTTAGTTTTCCTTTTTGTATCTAGCCAAGAATTTAGTGTTAATCAAAGTTTTGTATACATACAAGTTCATGGTATGATATCATAGCATTGCTGATAATATACACAATACATAGCACTTACAAACAACTAATTAAGTGTATTCTTCATTGTCTGACTTATTTAATATATAATGTATGCATTTCGAAATGTCTGGGGAAAGTTTCTGACTGTGAAACTGACTAGAATTTATTATTATTTATTACTGACTGATTATTCATCCTTATTTTTTTTTACATAAAAGTGTGATGTTTAATTTTAACTTTGGTTCGCATAAAGTGTGCAATATAATCCAATTTTAAAATGGTATGTACATCTATAATTGTATTTTTCATAAGATTGAAATTTTTAATAGGATTATCTCAGCAATCCTTATATAATTGTATTATCATTTGAGTTCACTTTCTGTTGTAAGCACATTTGTATTGTAAATGCAGATATCACATATAATGTTTTGCCTGAATCTAATTGTAATCTACTTTTAAATTTAATTTTATAAGATTAATATATTTTTATTTACTATTTTAATAGATAAATAGTAATGTTATCTAATACTAAAACTATCAATGGGATTCTGTTATTAATGTGTTAACTCGTAAAATATAAAACTAGCTTATGATTAATTTGAATAGTTAATAATCTGAAATCTCATAACAAGTAGAAAAAAAACTGCATTTTTGACAAAAAATCAATGTTCTATTATATGTAAATATATTTATGTTTTAGTTCATTTTCGTGAGATTCGATGCACAATAATCATAATTCCGTTCGGAAGATGGAGAAGGTGATTGATGAGGATAGGGAGAGGCGTCTCCGGGCGTTAGAGGACCGCATACAGGATCCAAGAAGTATAGGAAACATCGATTCGCTTTTAGATACGGTGCAAGCCCTATGCACCGACTGCGATCATCCGTCCGTAAAGAAATTAAAGAACGTAGAAGTTTACACAAATCGATGTAATTAATCAAATCACTACCAAAAATGAACAATGATTAATTGCTTTTCTTATTTGCAGATGATTCGTTTGCATCTGATATTATAAAGTTGCGTATGAAAACGGATGATTATGAACATATTAAGGTGATTGGAAGAGGTGCATTCGGTAAAGTACAACTGGTGAGGCACAAGTTTACGCGGCAGGTCTACGCGATGAAAAGATTGAGCAAAGCGGATTTGATCAAACGGTCGGATTCTGCATTCTTCTGGGAAGAAAGACATATTATGGCACACGCCAGTTCAGAATGGATCGTGCGCTTGCATTTTGCCTTCCAGGATGCTAAAAACTTGTACATGGTCATGGATTATATGCCCGGTGGCGATATTGTTAATTTGATGTCGAATTACGAAATTCCAGAGAAGTGGGCGAAATTTTATACAATGGAAGTTGTTCTTGCTCTGGACGTTATACATACCATGGGGTTTGTGCATAGGGATGTTAAGCCTGATAACATGTTGTTAGATAAGTATGGGCATTTGAAATTAGCGGATTTTGGTACTTGTATGAGGATGGATGAAGATGGTTTGGTCAGATCTAATAACGTAGTCGGTACGCCGGATTACATTTCACCAGAAGTTCTTCAAAGCCACGGCAAAGGTATTTACGGAAGGGAATGCGATTGGTGGTCCGTCGGTATATTTGTATACGAAATGTTGGTTGGAGAAACGCCCTTTTATGCGGATAGCTTATTGGGGACGTACAACAAAATTATGTACCATGAAAATAATTTGACTTTCCCTCCTGAGATAGAAATTACTAAAGAAGCAAAATCTTTAATACAAGGATTACTGTGCGATAGAACTAAACGTTTAGGTAAGATAATTATATTTACATTATTTTCTAGCATCATTTGATTAATTAATGTATTTGCTTTCATTAACAGGAAGAAATAAAGTGGATGAAATAAAAAATCATCCATTCTTTATAAATGACCAATGGACATTTGACAATCTCCGTGAGTCCGTCCCACCAGTTGTACCAGAATTGTCTGGTGACGATGACACTAGTAACTTTGATGATTATGAAAAAGACGAAAGCCCTGAAGAAATTTTTCCTACGCCTAGCAATTTTGTTGGCAATCATTTACCTTTTATTGGTTTTACTTATAATTCTGACTATCAATTGCTCACAAACACTGACCACGTGGACAGCAATCATGTAGTTGATTCTAGTGCTCAAGTAAGCAAATTGGAAAATCTCTTGGAACAAGAGAAGAGCAACACCGCGGCCTTAGAAACTAAACAACGAATTTTAATCACTCAATTAGATACATTAGCTCAACGGGAAAATGAAATGCGAGATGAGGTCTCGCACTGCGAAAAACAATTGACGATAGCGAAACACGCCCACAAAGAAGTCCAGAGAAAACTGGAGATTGAGATAGAAGTTCGCAAGAAAAATGAACAAATGCTAGTCGAACTGAAGGAACAGCTAGAGGAAGAGATGAATAAAAGAACGCGAGAAATGAACAACAATCAACAACACAATGACAAGATTAATTTGATGGAGAAACAAATCGCAGAGTTGCAAGACAAAGTCAAAGTTGAAAGTGAAAATTGTCAGCGATTACGGAAACAGGCAGCCGAATTGACGATGGCTAAGAATACTTCAGATCAAATGGCCGGAGAATATCAAACTGTACTTCACAATTTGCAAATGCAGAAAGCTAACTTGCAAAGTGAAATTGCTTCCATGCAAGGACAACTAACGCAGGAAAGAAGTTCCAGATCGCAGGCTTCCGATCAGCAACTTGTACTCGAAAATCGCGTTCAGTCCTTGTTGGGTGAAGTGGAAAGAAGCCGCCAAAAAGAAGGAAAACTATCCCTGGACAATATGCAAGTAACCGAACGTGTTTCAACGCTGGAGAAGGAATGTGCAAGTTTAAGTTTAGAATTGAAAGCAGCTCAAAATCGGTATGACCAAGAAGTTAAAGCTCACGAGGAAACAACAAAAAGTAGAATTATGAATAAGGAAGAAGCGAATTTAGAAGTTGTGAAAGGTGAGTTGTCTTTCTTATATTTTGTATCTAAACTTTAGGAAATATAAATAATACTTTCATAAAAAAAATATATATGTTTAGTACTCGTGGAAAAAATTAATTTGGGTAATTATTTTTCAATTTTGTTTTCACCGATTTATATTTCCGTTATTAACTATTTGTATTTTTATAGCGTTACAAACAAAATTAAACGAGGAGAAGAATGCCAGACAAAAAGCAGATCTAAATTCTCAGGAGAAAGAACGACAAATATCTATGCTGTCCGTCGATTACAGACAAATCCAGCAGCGCTTGCAAAAATTAGAAGGCGAACATCGACAAGAGATCGAAAAGGTGAAAGCCTTACATAGCCAGATTGAACAAGAGCAACAGAAGAAATCCATTATTCAATCTGAATTGGGACAAACTTTATCGGAAATAGCGCGTCTGAAAGCGAAAGAATCTAAAATATTAATTGACATTACACAGCTGCAGGAATCAAAAAAGTCTATTGAAGAAGATCTCTTTAAAGTTAAACGTGATTGGTCTGTGGAACAATTGCAAATCAAAGAACTTCAAGATTCGTTGGAAACTGAACAATATTTTGCAACGTTGTATAAAACTCAAACGGTGGAATTGAAAGAAGAACTAGAAGAAAAGATGAAAATGAATAAAGAGTTTGAGGATGAAAGGATGTCATTGAAACACCAATGTCAAATTGCGATTGCTCGTGCCGATTCCGAAGCACTTGCCAGATCAATTGCTGAAGAGACCGTTGCAGATTTGGAAAAGGAGAAAACAATGAAAGAGTTGGAGTTAAAAGATATTTTGGCGAAGCACCGAAATGATCTGAATGCGAAGGAAATCTTGATTAATAATGTTAAAGATCGAGAATCGGACTTAAAAAAACAAAATGATCAATTTTTAAAAGATAAGGATGAATTGAATAGACAAATCAAACAATTGCAGGAGGAATTGAATAAAAATACGGCGAACAGCGAGGAGCTAGAAAAGATTAGAGCAAGATTGGATACAGAAAGTTTACTTAAGCAGCAAGCGGTTAACAAACTACATGAAATTATGAATAGAAAAGATAACACTAGTGGAAAAGGCAAGAGTAAAATTTCTAGTTCGGATTTGAGACGGAAGGAGAAGGATTTGAAGAAACTGCAACAGGAATTGACTTTGGAGAAAGAGAAATATAGCCAATTGCATCAAAAGAATATACAGGAGTTAAATGTAAGATCTCTGTTTTTTTCTAAATATTGATTTATTTATATCATTATTTTTGTTTTAGAATCAATTGGATGCTGAAGTTCTTTTGAACAACAGATATCTAATGGAAATGGCTAGTAAAGATTCAGAAATTGAGCAGTTACAGAAAAAGTTGTCTGTTTTGAATAGCGAGACTGCGTCTTTAAGTTCAGCTGACAATGAAGGAGATGATATTAATTTGGATTCGGCTAGATTGGAAGGCTGGCTCTCCATTCCTAATAAACAAAATATTAAGCGTCACGGTTGGAAAAAGCAATATGTCGTTGTGTCCAGCAAGAAAGTGATTTTCTATAACTCGGAAAATGATAAGCAAAATTCGGATCCCGTCATTGTTCTTGACTTAGGGTAAAAATTGAAATGAAATAATTATTAATTTGGATATAATTGGTGATTTCTGTTTTTAGCAAAGTGTTTCACGTTAGATCCGTTACGCAGGGCGACGTGATTCGTGCTGATTCAAAGGATATTCCTAGGATTTTCCAGTTATTATACGCTGGCGAAGGAGAATCGAGGAAAACGGATGAGCAAGGAAATACTTTGGATATAAGTTCGATTCGTGGCGACGATAAGCAAGTGCCATTAGTACATAAATGGCACGAGTTTTTGCAAATTTCATATCATATGCCGACTACTTGCGAGGTGTGCCCAAAGCCAATGTGGCACATGTTCAAACCACCTCCAGCTTTGGAATGCCGAAGTAAGATTAAACAAATTATATGTGATTCTTTTAAAATTGAATATTCAACTGCGTTACAGGATGTCGAGTGAAAGTGCATAAAGAACATTTAGAAAGGAAAGAAGACAATGTGCCGCCATGCAAGCTGCATAGTGATCCTACGTATGCCAAAGAATTGCTACTCTTAGCGCCATCGAACGACGAGCAAAAGAACTGGGTTAATAGACTTAGTAAGAAGATTCAGAAATGCGGCTATAAAGCTAACAATTCCAATGCCATAGATTCCGCCAAGGTCTCACCTAGGTAAGTTACATTGTAATTGACCATGTTCAGGGTATCCCAGAGCGTAAGCTTTTGTGTTGTGCTTTACAGTCTTTATTATCTTAATTGTATCTTAACATTTAATGTACTTTTGATGATTTTTATTACTTAGGGAGTCAACTAGATCATCACTTAAATCGTATCTGAATGTACAGCAAAGATCGGCCACATTGCCAGCTAATACGTCGATGAATGTCAAATGATTATTAATTAATGGAATCGTGATATATTATACAATATTAAACTAAACTGAATGAGAGCTGTGAATGCTGCGTTTAAAAGTAAAAATAATTTGAGTGAAATTTTATATATGCTCAATAAGCCCGCCTTAATTACTTAAACAATTAATATTGAAAATTAAGAATGCAATTTATTTTCTATATAATGTAAATAAATCCTCTCCTTTTTTTATTGAATCGCCGTTAAAACATTTTGTTTAATTTTTTTTATTTGTTGTCTCTCGCTTTAATATATTATATATATATAATGTTTTTATTAATTTTTGGCTTCTGAATTTAACTATTTAAGCGTAACTTAAATAACCATGGAGTAAAAAATGAAACATGAACTTCTATATATTTTGTAGATGTATTTATTATTTATTAGTTTTTTACTTTACATTCCGCGCAAGTACAGTTTTGCACTCTGTATATTATTTTTTTTTCTTGTTATAAATTCACTAATTATTTGTGTGTTATGTTGTTTAATTTCATGTTAATATAAATGGGAGTTGAAAATACAAATAGACATTACTGTAGTTCGATTTGTTAAGTAATTGATTGAAGATGAAAAAACTGTGCCTTAACGGTGGTAATTATATTTATTGTCGATTAAACTTGTTGATATTTTTTTAAAAACTTAGAAATGGTATTTTATAATAATTATCCTCTCTCTATGCTTTATACAAATTGTAAAACCAAAACGATCTGTTTTAGTGTACAATAAAATCTTTTATTTATACCACATTATATATATTTGTGTTTACCTTTTATTTATTTACCTTTCATTGTATCATACTAATCATAATACTAATGATGTTACAGCATTTTTTAAATTTAAACGTTGATTAATATTTTTTTATGTAGTTTTAGGTTGAAACTAAATCAGAAAATAATATAAAAAAGTAATTTCAGATAAATGAAGGAAATGGTTATAAATTTGCTACAAATATTAATAAAATAATTTCTGCAGAACTATTAATGGGAAAAACTGTAATTTCGACTTATTTCATATAATCTAAAGCTTAAAGTTTGGAAATTACTACATACCCATTCATGCTGTACTGTGTGTCATCAATTATCCTGCGACCCTCGCTTTGAGAATCACTGATCTATAGCAATGCTAAACAATCTTTTCTACTAGGAGTGCATATTTCAGAAATACGGGAGTTCGGTGGACACCATGTGGGGGTGACTTCACATTTTTATTAGTGTTTGTAGTTCAATGAATTAAAATTGCTATACCTTGGTGCCTGTAATCTTTTTAAAATTGCATTGCGGGCATCACGTTGTGCGACCCCTGATGTAAAGGTTTCTTTTGTATTTTAAATAAATATACAATATTAAAAAATATGTATTTATAGACAAATATGATATACATATGAAAATAATTCCTTCTCTTCTTGAACAGAAAGCAATACAACAAGATAAGTTGAATAACGTTCTAAATATAATAACTTAACAATTTAATTTTCCGAAGCTGTAAATTCATTATGATTACTACAAAATACAAATCAATTCTATGTATGGAATTTATAGTAATACAAAAAAATAATAAAAATTTATTTTAAACAGCCAAAATTTTAACGCAAAATAATAAATAGTTATTGTACACACAACCAACACCTGTTTAAAATCATAATATTACGGATTAAAATAATCCAACTTTTTTCTTCAGTTCCTGCTGCTTCCATCTTGGTAAATTTTCGAATTCCCTATATTGCATTTTGAAAAGATATACGAAATCATCGTGAGTTAAATGAAGCTAAAATAAAATTTGATAGTTTTAAAATATATATTTATTATTTTATTTCTACTCACCTCTTTGGCTAAAGGATCAACTTTACTAGGCAGTTTCTCCGAAGGTCCTTTTAAGATACTTATAGGATACTTATCGTATCTATCAAAAACTTCTTCACCGTAAGAATTTCCGGTCACTGGTTTCGGTATAATCTCTCCACCTTGCAATTCCTGTCTGACATCGTCGAAACATTTATAGCTCTAAATATAGTAAATTTATTAGTGTTTTATTAGTATAAATGTTGAAGGATATACCTTCCACATGTTTTCATCCCATGGTTTAAAAAATCCAGTGAAATTGGGAGGCTCGTTTCCTTGTCGGATTATAACAATAGGAGTATTAACATCTTTTCCGGAAGGATCTAAAATATATATTTAATATATTTGATTCACGTAATATTTGAATTATTTTTACCGGATTTAAGATAGTCTTTAGCCAATTCCAAACTAAGTCTGCTTTCTTCTTTAGTACTTAATTTACCAATCCACACGAAGATGGTATCGTGAGCATCCAGAAGCATAACATCTTCGGGTACTAAATCGCTTTGCGAAAAATTAAATAATTCTTCAGCTGAAAAACAATAAATCAATATTTACGATAAGCATGATTTATAGCGCACCTCTGAACTTTCCGCTTCCGGAAGAACATTGAAATAGCCTCGCAGGTTTCTGCAATCCATCGACACTTAACATTTTAGATGTTGTATAAGCCGTTTTGCCTCCTAGCAAATCCCAGAATTCGTTCGGTTCTTTCCCTAAAGTAAATTCAATGATATTAATTTCCATCATTATATTATTATTATTACGCAAATCTACCTTCTAAAATTATTTCAAAATCTTTTCCCGTAAAATGTTTGGCCATTTCTCTTTGATCACCGGTCGAAGTATTTCCGCACCAAATGAAATAGTGCTTTCCCTTTTTTAGAACGAAACAGTAATTCGAGTTTAACGCATTGGCCTTGTAGTTGACTTGAGTGGCTTTGCTGCTAAACGACGTTGAGCCGTGGATCTGCAGCAAGTAATTACTAGGATGTTTCAAATTACGACCAGACTCTATAAATGTAAACTCTTAATGCATTGTTATTACGCGTAATCGATATTACCATCGTAATCCGTTCCTTCACCCTTATATGTAATCATTTTTCCTTTAAATAATTGAAGAAATTGTGCAGGTTCTTTGCTTTGTACCATCCTGATCTGCACGGCGACGCCCTCCAATTGCTTATCGACTTCATTGGCCTTTAATTCAGCTGCCTTAATCTCTTGTTTATGAGCATTTAAACCCTAAATAAAACTTCTGTATTTCAAGTTAGAAAAGAACTTAAATATACTTACCAGCCAATAAAACACAATATGTCTGATAGATGATGTATTATAGTTATACCATACAATATAGCAATCTCCGGAGAAGAAATGACCGTAACGTTCTTTAGGTATTTCAATTGCATCGTTTCCTTTAATTCTCCAAACCATAATTGAGCCTGAACCATCATCGACCAATTGAGTTTCTGCGGCCAAAGCCGGTCTCTCTGACATTGTCAATGCGTCGAACTTTGTTATAACTCGTTTAGCAACTGCATGAACCAAATTATTAAATAATAAATGAAATTACATAAATTATACTAACTGGAAGATTTCCCTTTGCAAGCGTCTCTGTCAGTCCAATGGAGAAACAACATTTTAAATTCTAAACACTCGGACCCTTCAACTACCCTGGTTACGCTTGTGTTGTTTGGATACTTTTTCTTCTTAACAAATCCTCTGGCATTGCGCATAGCCTCAACCCTTTCCTTGTCGCTGGCCCTTTTCCCAACCCAAACCCAAATACCATGGATGCCATGATCAATAATATAAACATCCTAAAATCCAACAAATGTTAATAAAATAATCAATTATTAACAAGTAGTGAAAATTACATCAGATTCAAGATCCGTTTGCAGAAGTGGTCCTCCCTTAATTTCCGTCACTCTATATTTCCCGCTGCTGTCCGTGCATCGGTAAAGCCTTAGTGTCGATCTGTAACTCTTCTCGTATTCTTCATCAACTGAGTCGTGATTCGGTGGCAAAACGTGTCTTTTATCTAATGGTAAATAACACTGAAACTCCGACTTTTCGCTCGCGGACATAGTTTGTTCGTAGCCATCGTCTATAAATGTAATTTTTTGAATTCCCGTTTCCGTCTTCAGTTGATTTGCTATCTAAAATAATCTAATTAATACGAGAATGCGTTAAGCGATGAGTTTATACCTTTGCGCTGTGTAACTTCTCCACGGCATTCGCGGCTCGGCCTATCCAAACAAAGATTACCTTTTCCGTTTGCACCAAGAAAGCATCGCCGCTGTTGAAGTGGCTCCAGGAAATGGAATTCAATTGAGTCAGTATCGGCGTTCTCCTACCTTTGATCTTATATAATTTCGGATGATTGTTGTTGATTATTTCGCGTAACGGAGTATTCGTGCCACCTTTCAAAATGCTATAAATAATTGTTATACGTAAGTATTGTAGATTAAGAGTTTATTATTGCGATGTAAATACCGAATTCCATTTTTGAAGTAGCTTTTGAAACGCGGACTTTCATTGCCCTGAGTTTCCCGATGCTGGATGCCGACTCCACTCAAATATCCATCCAGTTCCACGGTTTTATAAGCTGCAGCTCCGGATTTTTCCGCAGACGTTGAAGAACCCAACCAAAAGTGAATATGAATTTCAATCGGGCCTTTAACTTCCCTACACTAATAATGCAATTTAAGGTATCATTTTTTTGGAATGTTAAATGCCCGTTTATTGGTATTTACCACTGTGTCTATTGTTGCTGAGGCACCTTGTTGAGAGGATGCGTATACTATGTAGGAGTCTGCATCGTAGAATGTACCGTAATTGTCTTTGGGCAGTGCAACAACATTCATATTCTAGTCACATTAACAAGATAATTAGATTATTACGCTTGGACAAAGATTAATGACTTCTGTACATGTCTCATTATGGTATAACAAATTTTCTCATGAATATGTGAATTGTTTTTTTTTTGTTTAGCCACGACCTTTTTCTTGTAATGTAAATAACGTTTGTCCTACAACAAACATGCAACTAATTTCCATTCCGCATGTTGTAAATTACTGTTAAGCTATACTGTCACCTCTCTAAGAGGTATTATCTAAAATGCTATTATCTCGAAGAAACACGTAATGAGCCATTAACAATAATTGTAGTTTTAAATCTTCTTGTATTAAAAAGCAAATTTTTTGTTTACCTCGATACGCCATATATGGAAGCCGGTGCAATTCCTTTGTATTTTTCGAAATGCTGCATCCACCATACCGTTGGATGTTCCGTTCGAGAAACCATCTGCATCATCCTTGAATATTTAATGCATTTGTTAGAAGAAATAGCAACATTATTATTAAACTAATCATATATAACCACAAGACATGAAAAAGAATTAAATTTACATTATAATTAAATCATTACAAATTAAAGAAAATGTTCAATTATATATTCATCCCAAGTATGGCTACAATACGTTTAAGATATTTCAACTTTCTAAAAGTGATCTTATAATTGTTCACATTTAAATAAAGCAAAAACAAATGTAGACGGATTTGTTTCTAAATTCCCAACAGTTCAAAACTGGATTGAAATATCAAATGCTTGCAGATCCAATCATCGTTGCGCAATGCGGCAATGGAAAGACAGAAATTGAACACGATGGGCTCATTAAACTCGGAATGAAAATTGAAAATACAAAAACAATTTTTCGTTTGACGTCTTAACGGTGCCCGTAAAGCTTGATGTACGAGCGCACAGAAAAAAGAATATTGTACAGTTTCACATCATCGTTACGTTTATTATAAACACATCAAACATGACCAAGACTGCGTTACGTGCGTGTAAAAGTGACAGCCGGTTATATGATTGCATTGTGTAGCTAACAATCGCATTGTCTTAAATGGTCAGATTCTTCTTTTTTTTTTCAAAATTTTTCATCCAAATGTAATTGAAATAAACTGTAATTGAAACGTTTACTAATATCTAAAGACAAATTAATTAGATAATTTAATGATTATTAATCATAATATTGAAATATTTACATAAAGAATTCCGTTATTGTTTTTATATGTTTTGTGAACTTAGATATTATTTCCCGGACGCAAAGACCTATTTATTATGATTTTATAAATACGTATTAATTATTTATATATGTTGCAATAATTTGGTTTTTTTTTGTATTAAATCGAATATAATAAATTTTATATTTATTGTAATGTAATAATTAATGTTTTTTGAGAAAGTTAATTGGTACTATAATAAACTGTAATCGGACAAGTTTCAATTTTCACTTACCAATGATCACGGATTAATACAAATAAATAAAACAATTTAAAGATAATTTAAGAAAGAAACATGATAAGAAATATAATAGCAAATTTTGAATTTTTATAAATATATTAATTAAAATGATTGATACAGGTTTAACATAATTAAAAAAGTAATATAATAATTAAATAATTCATATTCATTATTTTTAGGTTTATTACTAAATAAGAAAAAATAATTCATTCTGTGAAAATAAATTAATCACCTTTGGCAAATATTAAATACAATTATCAAAGTTTTTATAACCAACAGTAAATAATTGAAGAAATTTAGATATTTTTTTCATGAAAATTAATTAATTAAAATACTTTTATTTAATTACTTAATTTTTAATTATTAATATCTAAGTAATTATAATTAATCAATAAAAATATTTGATAAATGTTTCTTAGCATTTAAATTCTGATGACAAAAGTTTTTTTTTTGTAAAATAATAATATTAATAAAATCGATATAACCGTACGTAATCTATATGTTGAATCTCGAAGACGTGCATCTTGCTGTGAATTATATGTAATTGAATCAATTGATCATAATAACACCAACTAAAACACTGATATCGCGCACTGAAGTCGAAGTGCAAACTGATTCAAACCTTGGACAAGTCACAAAGTAAGTTCTTTGAAAACGAATTGCTCAATTTACGCGGAACTAATTTGCCATTTATTGCTATCGCCTGCTGTAATTGCGATTCTATATATTTATTGTTGCTTTCTTTGAAAATTTGATGTTTCACACGATATGCAGAGTGCTCACAAGACGCGAGTTTAAGGAAGAGTGCTTGGAGTGAGTGACCCTCAGATCTCTTCCATTGCTGAGCACACCTTCCTACCCATTCAAGACGCAGACTGCGCCGACTGACCGAATATATTTCTATATCTATGTGCATATACCCGTCACAGAGTAATAACGCCGGAAAATCATAATAACCACAATCATTATAGATGGCTATCCTTCATGCAAGAATGAAGGAAGAGGGCTAAACCTCCAGCATGCAATCCAAATTATGAAAAAATAAAGTATTTTCTATATATATTGGCTTTTTTGATTTTATCAATGTTATTTCAAAGAGAAATCGTAATTGAAATCTTCTTCGTCCAATCGAATTGATTTCGTATTCTTAGCGTGGTTCTAAAGAAAGGTCAGTTACTTAATATAGGTCATAGGTAGCGCAGTGAAAATTATTCGCTTTAAGTGTAGACAAATGCACCACGATTATTTAAAATACATTTATTATTGCACATATATTAAATATATATTTTGATGGGATGAAGCAAATCTTATAAATGAAAACTACGTGAATCTTCTAAGTAACTTAAATTAATACAAATATTTAATAAATGGCAGTCATGAATATTAGTCATTCGTATCAAACTGTTTACATCGAAAATGCATTATTTTTTATCAAACTTATTTACAGCTTGCGTCTCTGAGAATAGCTCATTGTTACAAATATTCTAGGAATCATAGAATATTCATAACTTTTTTTTATATCTACAATTTATGCAAAGCGCCTATTCTAATTATAAATTATTGATTTTTGTGAAGGTCATGGTGATTATTGGTATATTGCATGGCTCATACACGTTATTACATTATCCCAACATTGAGTTACCGCATAATATTATTAAATTGGAATTCCAAATTAATATCAGTTTCGTGTTTTTTTTTAATCTTTGTAAGTTTTAATTATTCACGTGCTAATCTGAGGTTCGCGTTTTATAAAAGCCTTCTAGGCTCTAATGAGGACTTTCGTCGAACGACTGAAACAAAAGGCATTTAAGATTGCCGCTGTCATTTAAAACTCATTTGTATTCGAATTACCAAGTTTTCAAGAGAAATCTCGCCGATTCGAATGCAAACAATAAGTGGGTTCATTGTTTCCGAGCAAAACCGAAAGGTAGAAAAGAAGAACCTACATAAAAAAGCGCTAAAAAAATAAGAATTCCTCGCAACACCATGGGATAATCCGTGACTTTTTGCTGTGGGTAAGAAGAAATCGCAGGATCGTCAATATTCATTCTTGCGTTACGTTTTCGGTTTCAATCCGTTATTATTGCAGCGGGTTACAGTTACGAATACATCAGATTGATATCAATAAAGGTGTTGCAAATCGAATGCCTTTCTATCCCATCAAGAAGGAAGAGGAGACAAAGTGCAGAAGAAGGAAGGAAAGAAACAAAAAGTGTGCTCGACGACCTGACGGAATGAATGCGAATTGCGGAGCAATCGTTTTTACAATAACGAATCTTCACGGATTGTTGAAACGAATGTCTTCGGACCGACCGCAACGGTCCGATTCACTTTTTCGCATTTGCCACGCTAATTTACCCTTTGGCTTCGATCACCGCACTTCATATTAATTAAGCGTAATGAGTCGGAATTTATGGATGGACGGACGGACGCAAATCCTATTTTTATAAATAAAAGCCTCGTCCTATTATTTTGCATTGTAATGCGGCGCGAACAGCGTTTTTAATTAATGTTTATGGTCAGGAAGAAGCGGAACAATCGCGATCCCATAGTTCTTAGGAAATGCGTTGCATAACAATCGTGATACCTGGTTTCCTTATAGTAGTACACTGTTTTGCAACAGTATTGATTCTAGCATGTCACGGACACAAAGCACATTAAATTATAGCAGATATTACTGTTTGTCGTTACGAGTAAGTTTAATATATTTGTTGACTTGATTTGCCCATATAAGGTAAACGATGTTTATATAAATTTAACATAAATGCGACAGCAATAGAAAAAAGCAATATCGGCTACGTTTCAAGGAATTGGAAACGAAGCAATCGGAAGGGTGTTGCCTTTAAATTGCTTGTGACAAATTCAGTTCATCGAGGTCAGTAGGAAACGCTTAATAAGCAGTTTCCAAGTCGTAAAGGATTGACGGGATTCAGATTTAGAACCTAGCTAATTTGGATTAGATATCGGACTCCGTTCATCTTATCTAGTCACTAAAGCTTAACGAGTTATGCATACAGTAGTGCAATGAGTGCAATTAACGGGATTATGAATAATTATGAATTTATATATGCAACAGATTAACATGCATACACGCAATTTTCTAAATGCAAAAAAATATATATATATGAATACCAAATAGCAGGAATAATTTTATATATATTTACACATTTTTTCTGCTAGTAATAATATTAGGAGCGTACTTTTTAATTTTTTTAATATATCTTATTTCATTTAAATTATGCACGACTTATGGCGTCTTGTTAATGGATTGCTCATTCACTTTCCAATTGAAGGCATTAATTTTCCATCTTAAATGAAATACACTGTATGTGTTATTTACCGGTATCAATCAATTGGAGAAAATTGAAAAGTATAAACTTTCGTGTAAAAGAAAACTGCATAATTTGTAATAGATATAAAACTGTAAATTTAATGAAATGTACTTTAATTCTGGAAAGTTCTTTTTTTATAAATTAATTAATTTAATATTTAATGAATGAAATCAAAAATTTAACAATTCATTAATAATATAATAGTGGTTTACGCCGGGTAATATAATTCTTATATTATCTTTTCAAAATTTATGAAAATCAATTAATTGCTGTTAATTATATGTAATGATTATATACAATTGGACAAAGAAAAGAAAAGTACAAATGTGTTAGATGAAAGACGTTTCGCTATAATTAAAGTTAAAAGTTGTAGGTGCTTAATGAGTGCTAAGAACTTACTTACTGTGTATAACGTATACGCACCTTTTTCATAATAAGAAAGTAATCAAAGGCACAACACTCCTGTGACTAATTGGCTGCGTTTTAATTTCGTATGAAAGAAAGAGAATGAAACTGGATAAGATGTTCACGGCGCGAGACCAAACGCTGCTTGCAGATCTGCAACTTCGTTGCAATTGTCTTTCGGTATCGTCCACTGTTGTTGTTGTTTTTTTTTGTTTTCGGTGGAAACAGGAAAAATTAAAAATAGAAAGTTGCGGCGAAGCAACATAAAATTGTGTGGCAAAATGATTTCCGGAGTGAAGCACAGAAACTGGAACTGTGGTGCGCGGATGCAACGATATTGTGAACGGAATTGACCGGAACCGGAAGCACGCTGTGATAGCCATTTATTGTTGCACCATACGTCCATCCATCCGTATGTCTGTCTAGGGTTTCAAACAATCCCCAAAAGTGAGCTGAGGTCGACTGATGCGAATTGCACAGAACCGCAACAGCAGTATTTTGTTGCGGAGATCACCTTGGGAGCGAAAAATCGCAATTATTGCATAAAGAGAGAAAATCCGTCCGCAATTAATGCAATATTTGGAAACGAGATCGTATTATATTCGTGTTTGCATGTTGTGATCGATATATAATAAAAAAAATATGTCCAATATCTTAGGTTCAATTTCGTTATTTGATACTTGAAAGTAAAGTAACTTATTATGCAAATTCTAAACTTATATTCTTGGAAGATAAATTAATATGCATGTTAAACTATGGGGAACCCAGAGCGTTTGTTAAACGGAGCTTGACTCTATCCTGTGCCTTGCTCTGACCTTGATTTAATATAATTTGTACGAGGGCCTTAGAGATCCCTAAAGTTGGAAATGTTGGTTGGTTGAAACACTGTTAGAGAGGAAGCGTTAAATTATAGTACAAAAACGATGAAATCATGATGGCGTCGTAATTGTAAAATTAAGTTACTTGCTCTCCTAAATTTACGAAAGGTATCAAAACATGTATAATCTGTTGTAGAGGAAATGAATTATAAAATTAACTTCGTTCCTTTGAAATAAAAATTCAACAATAGATAATTACGATAAAATGAGTTTAAACTAAATGTAGTTTTTTATTTCATGAAAATATACGAAGAATATTGTCTACTATTTAAAACAGTTTTTATTAAGGACAAAACTTTTTTTTACAGTATGTAATAATATATTTACAGCAATTTCTATTATAATCAATATTGCTTTAATTAACAAAGTCATTAAAAATTGATTACTGAAAATCATTAGACGAAATTACCGGTACAGATATAACTGTAGCTTTGAAAGTGATTACTTTATTAACTGTATATTGAGCGCAAATCTCCAATTAAATAAGGCACCGACCTTACGCCATATTCTTCGCCGTTTTGTACCGTGGACGATGGATACAATTATGCTTTACTTAAATTTAAAAAAAAATGCGTGGCAGATGTCTGCGTGCACTATTTACTTGGAAAAAATAACCGTTTGCTCAATTTACATACAAATCGTCGCGATATTTCGTTCTCTCGAGATGTCATCCAACTACCGCAATTTAAAAAAAAAGTAACATTACATAATATAGTGAGAAGAGAACTATTTCTGGCGTTTGTGGATTTGAAATGCATTGCTTGTGGATCGATATAAAGAAAGTTAATGATCCATAAAAGCAAATCTAATATAATACTTTTTCTTGTTTACCGTTATATGTCAATCTTCTCCATTTCAATTTATTGTTCTTTTAATTAGATTTTAATTACATTTTCACTAAATTCTCTACAGAATATACTGGTCAATGCTGCTTATACAGTCCTACCGCAAGAGTCTGCTGTGGATTACTACTGCTAGAATCTGCAGTATTCTACGGTGCCATCGCAAGAGAGTATCGTGGTCTACGGTACTACCGCAAAAGTCTATTGTAGTTTAATTTGATATCGCCAAATTCTACTATGATTTACGATACTACCAATTATATAAGCCTGCTGTAATCTACGATGTTACCGAAAATTATATAAGTCGGTTATAGTTTTCTGCTTTATTGTCATAACTATCAAATTTGTTTTCTTTCCATATACAATATAAATTACTTTGGTATTGACCCATTAACTCTTTGAGGAGCAGTGGAATACGAAATGTATCACCTTTTGAACATGCCTACATTATTATAATTTTCTAGAAAATGTACAGGAAAGACCATTTATTACCATTACCATTTAATTTGGTTAGTATGTCCCATGTAGATTCAGTTGCAATTTCTCGCACTTCAAAGAGTTAACGCCCATATCATAAAACATATTCAAAGTAAATATATATAGTACGCTTCATTTAATGGGAAACCTTTTGACAGATATTTACAACTTACAATTATATTTAGTGTTATTAAATCCATACAATTATATAATTGTAATATATAACATATACTAATATCATACATAATAATTAGTAGTAAATAAGAGATGGTGCGACCAGATTACTTTCAACATATGTAAACCCTCACAGATAGAGTTCAATAATTATCTGTTCAATCAGAACGTTTATTATTTGCCAACAGGAATATATGAACATGTTGTGAACGTGCTCCAATTTATTGTGCATGTGTAATTGGTACGTCGCGACGCATGGCAACCTGTTACTGAAGACGCCTAGACCTTGGTCGATCGATCCAATCCATCCAACGTAGCGGGTTTCGCATGTACACCATCCAAACACACATACACGCACACACCACCACCGTCTGCACGTATAACATCTGTAATTGTAACCGAAATCTACAGAAAATTAATCCTCCTACACGTCTATTACAAGACCTTTAATCCAATTTTCGCCGCAATCGCAAAATTGTACGTGTGAAATATGGGGAAACATTTCCACACCGTGGCCGCAATGGCCTGTATGAAAAGTCTTCTATTGGTCTTCAATTTTCTATTCTTGGTAAGTTCAATATTAACAACATTTGCAAAATAAATTACAAATCCGCGCTGAAAAAGAAGTTTGCACTCGCTAATGTGCAACTCAATTAACACATTATTAAGCTTCTTCTGAAAAGCATATTGGAAGATGCAAATACTTATTTATATTACATGTATGCAACAGCTACCTTCTTCTAACATTCTTGAATGCTTGCTCTTTATCTTTACAATTAAAAAGATTCGTTTCATATTATGACTTTATTAAGGGTGTGTCAGCCATATTTCAATTTTAAAAATGTTTCCAAGTAAAATCAAATCTAATTAAGCTTTATAAAATTAGATTCATTAATTCACCTCATTAAATATATAATTAAATTAAATCAACTATAAAAAGTATGATTATTAGTTACAAGGTTTACTTTAGAGCTGCTACATGATCTTTTATCTGCCGTAATTTCCTGTTTGATTATTATAACCGACAATAAAAACGCTGTTTTGGTATACGATAATAAGTATGAAAAAAAGGTAGGAGTGAAAGGCAAAAAACATGGTAAAGCCTCTGCTGTTGAACTATGAAGGAAGGAAGCAATTATTTCAAAATATAGCGTACACCTTATGAATTACAGTGGGAATTAGAAAATTGTCCGTTTGCAGTAGCATTTCTTTGTGTTATTACACGCATAACCGCAATCGCTTAAAAAAATAAAGAAATCACCGTGAAAAAATATAAAGGAATAAACGAAAAAATAAACTGTGAGAATTTGAAATGTTTGTTGTGATCGCCGTTATAATTGCATTAAGATGATTATCTATGTGATTGTTGCAGATTTCAGGGATAGCTATTGTTTGTATTGGAATATGGATGGAAGTTGAACTTTACAAGTACATGGAAATGAGTACTGAATTCTCAGCACATGCTCCATTCGTACTTATCTTTTTAGGAACCATTATTATTCTACTGGCGTCGTTCGCTTGTTGTTGCACTATCAAAGAGCATCCATATCTTCTGTATAGCGTAAGTACTTTAAAATGATGCCCAGTTTCTTATCTTATATGAATATAATTTATGTGAATTGTATTTGAACCTTATGAATCTTATTTGAACTAAAAATACTATAATTTATTTTGAATGAAAGCCAATATTGACATTTAATTATTATTATAAAATTTGGATCTAAATACCTGAAGATCCAAATGAAACTCTTCAAAGTAACTTATGAAGAGGTTGCTTTCGTATTTCTTGATAAGTTGCGAAACGTTGTTCATCCACGTACACTTAACTTTATAATTAATTTACTGGAAACTTAACATTTTTTTCTGACTTGACAAGTCACGTGCTGGAGAAACGTTACGCTTCATGGATTTCAACACTTTATCTCCATGGAAATCTTCGCATCCATTTTTTTATTTTACATTCATTTATTTTTCGTTATTATCATTATTACAACGATCTCTCGCACGGAAAGCAGCTAGAGCGTAATTACTAAAACAATAATGCATAAGTTGCAATTAAAAATACATTTAGAATGCATAAATTATGTTTTTTTTATGCTCTCATTTTCTATTTGGATATAGTATGGAACAATTTTGGCGATATTAGTGGTATTGCAATTCGGCGCCGGCATGTCGATTTTCGCGTACCGCACAAAATTGATGGCTGGATTCAATCAGGGATTGAATCAGAGCATGATAAACTACCGGTCCAAGGATCAGGAGAAAGTCGCCGACTTCGACGCCATCCAGGCAACGGTAAAGATAATTTCGCTAATTGATCTGGTTGACTCAATTAATTGCTCCTTGTAGCTTCATTGCTGCGGAAATCGTGGATACTCCGACTGGTTTAATTTGGAGCCACCACTACCAATCCCACCTTCCTGTTGCATCAAGGACGATTGCGACACTGCTGAACCGGATCAAATTTACACAGAGGTAAGGTTAATTAGTTGATTGAATGTGATTTTTTTTAATGATTATGTCTTCCTTCCAGGGATGCTATCAAAAAGTTGTTGGTTTCTTGGACGGAAACATAGGTATGGTTGCTGGATCAGCTATAGCCATAGCATTTTTCCCGTTGATAGGTGTTGTGTTATCCTGTTGTTTGGCTAGAATGACAAACAAAGCTAAATACGAGCAGATGACTTAAATTATTAACATCTTTAACACTTTTTAACTCTCTATTATATTAATCTACGTCCTTTGAAACTATTATATATGTGTGATATTACTCCACAGTTAGTACTATTCTATGCTTCTGGGTGTCTATTTAATATCACAACGATTGTTATTACTACTATAGTATTTTTTGAAAAGATATATCAAATACACTACATATATTCAATGTAACTTTTAAACTTTAACTATTTAAAATTTTCGATCAATTACACGAGATACAAAAGACTTCTCTATTAAACCAAACGTATCATCTTTATATAAATGTGTCAATTTATGAACTTTTAAATTATTGGAAATGTATATCTAACATATATTTAAATATAAACATATTTATTTTTAATTATATTATACCAACATATTAAATGTATTGAAATAAATTCGAACTGGTGTTAAAATGTTTCTTTTAATTTATATACCCTATATTTATCATACTAATTATTATACATTTATTTACTATTAATTTGAATAGTGAATCATAACCAGTGGAGTATTAAGGATGTTGAGGCCATTAGGTATCAAAAATACTAAAAACAATCATCAATAGGCCGTGTGGCTATGGTCGCCCGCCTGTATCACGAAAATCTGATACGAAAGGTCGTAGGTTCGATTCCAAAAAAAAAACAACAAAAAATTGTGGTGGCTGTTATAAATAGGGCCGGAAAAAATTTATATCAATAAATAAATTGATTTAAATCTCTTTATTTAAAAGGTCCATTAACAAACTAATTTTAAAAATAATTAAACATTTCTTATTGTTTATTAACAAATTTATGTATTAAAGTATTAAATAATACTTAATAATCCTTAATCTGAATGTTAAAAACTGGAATCGAATCAGTAATCAATAACTATTAACTTTGCCTACAATAAATTTCTTTCAATAATGTAATATTAGGGCAGAAAGACCTATGGTCAATAGCCCTTTGTATCAGTTTACTTTTTTGATATTATACAGTGTAATATTGGTTGCATATACTTGTTAACTTTACCTTTCGAGGTACCGACATTTCGTTGCATTAGCAGCACTGTGCGAAAGTGTTGAAAGTTGACAGTCAAAAACAAGCAAAAAAAAGGACGCTCGTCTATTTATTGTTTTTAAATTTATTTTTAACCCAATTTTTAAGTAATTTTAGCAAGTGGAACTATTAGTAATAACATAAATATACGTGTGGAGCTATAATTACTTCAACCGTAGTCAAGTAAGAATTTACTATTTAATATAAAAATTGAACAGTATTATTCATGTACATAAATCCAACATCCCTTTAAAACAATATAATGTTAATTGTATGGACATATTTTAGGATGTCGTCTGCTTCAACAGCAACATGTGATTGGCAAACAACAAAGAAGGTAGTCACAGCACGAGCTGGATATTTGCTTGATAGGGGACTATGGAGTGACTGTCGATTCATTGTGGGTATTGAACCAAATCAGCAGATCATGGAAGGACACAAATTGTTCTTAGCTATGGCAAGTCCTGTATTTGAGGCAATGTTCTTTGGGGGTATAGCTGAGAAAGATCCAATTGCAATTTTGGATGTTCAACCTGAGGCTTTCAAAGCACTGCTTGAGTAAGTAATCAAATCCTAGTTCCCTGTTATCCTCTCTATGTATATTTTTGATTTGCAGATACATTTACACTGACAAAATTAATTTCACTTCTTTTGATCAAGCATGTGAGTTATGTTATGGTGCAAAAAAGTATATGTTACCATTGTTGGTTGAAGAATGCACTCATTATTTGTGGCGTGATTTGCATCCTAAGAATGCATGTAGAGCATATGAATTTGCTAAGCTTTTTGAAGAACCTATATTAATGGATAAATGTTGCAGTGTGAGTATTTTAACAATAATTCTAATTCTTCTGCAACTTCTTATTAACTTATTTTTTTCAGATAATCAGAAATCAAACCTTAGAAGTATTAACAGATCCCAGCTTTGAAGAAGCTGAATTGAACACAGTTTTGACTATTTTTGACCAGGAGTATTTGAATATCAATTCGGAATTGGAATTGTTTGGTGCTTTGTCTCGTTACGCTGCTAAACACAATCAGGCCTCAGGTGCGAAAGTGTCAAGATTAGATGGTATGGGTTCTTTCATTATTCATTTAATCTACTTCACTCATTGAAGCACACAAATCAACTATTCTTAACATATTCATAGTATATTTAAGTTACTAATAACTTAATGTGTAGAGAACATATGATAACTAAGTTGTAATGTTTTAGCTAATGTACCTAACGAACCTAGGACTCCAGATATTCGTGATGCTTTAATGAAAATTCGATTCTTAACTTTGAGTCCGCAACAGTTCGCCGAAGGACCGGCAACATCAGATTTATTGACTCAAGCTGAAAAGTTTGCAATCTTAATGAAGATATCTTCTCCAACAACCGACACGCAAATGCCAACAGGTTTCACCATGATGACAACTCAAAGGAACAATCAGATATGCAGTCAAGGTTCTAATTCCTCAAACCCTTTGAGTTTAACAAATAATCAGTCTATGTACGAGTCCAACAAATTATACTGCACCAGACAGCTGATCAGAGTTACAGAGTGTTTGAATGAAAGCGTTTTAGATTGCGTCTTAACTTTCACTTGTGATAAAAATGTTTGCGTTTTGGGAATACAGGTTTATTACCAAGAATTTCATAATTAGGATAAGTTACTAATAAGTATGGGTTGCAGGTCCCATCACAAATAATGTTGGATATGGACGATACTCCACATATTAATACATATACAGAGTTACTGTATGCGCATTTGCTTGATGCTGATGGAAGCCGTTTAACTTACACACATTACACAAGTCGAGTGCTATACAGGTCTCTATTTGATATATCGTTTAACCGAGCTGTATATATACAGAAAAACAAGGTAACTCTATTTACTATTATATAAGCATAACAGAATTAATTAGATTTGTTTTTTCTTTTCAGATTTATAAGGTGGGAGTGGTGTTGAACAAGATGGGATGGTATCCGATTGGCGTATATCAGCCATGTACCAACATAAATGGAGTATCTTTCATGTTTGGGACGGGCGATTGCGGTGAATCGAGTCGCGACGGCTTGATTCGCTCAATAATATTCTCCACGCCCTCCGCTATGCAGCAAGCAATCAAAATCCCCCCGGCCCAGTAGCAATATTACGAATCTCATTTTATGTACGACTCATAAATGTATTTTAGTTATGTATGGGCACAAGTTCTTAACCATCACATTTCTGTTAATAATTATTAGATGTGTATATACTTATCATATTTATTAAGGATGTCTTTATTATAGCGATATGATGTATTTAATAAATAAATAAATGTTTATGTTAAAAAATAATGTCTTTATTTAATACTTCTACTTCCTACATTTCGTCGATTTGGTTACTGCGAATATTTAATAGTATTTAACTTATAATATTAAAATGCCTAATAATCTGAGCACACCCGTTCCTCGTTATATACGGTACTTTCTTTACACTTTTGCCGCTTTTACACGGTTTAAAAAAATTGTTGAAAATTTTTTGCATACTGTTTTACATTCAAAGTTATAAATCGGATCCTAGGTTTATTGATTTTGTATCTGCTTTGAGCGAGATCTTCAACTCTTTGAAGGGCCAGGAATTCCTAAACAATTGAATCAGGCAACTACGTAAACTGAATCAACATTGGATGATGTATCAAGAATCATCATCACATTTCTTAGAAAACTATAAAAATGTCCCATTAGGCATATTCAAAAGGTGTTGCGTTGTTTGTACCACTTTCCTTCAAACAGTTAAGGACAAAAATGTTTATTATTAATTTTAAATGGATTAATTCATTGTTAATGTATTGATACAATTAACATACATAAATTTAAGAAGAAAAAAACATATAATTATAATAAAATAAATTAAGATTTTATTTTGTATTTTTATTGTTGCAATTAAATTTTTTATTAAAAAAATTAATACATCATTACAAATGGCTATTGACCATGATACAAAAATACTAGTGACTATAGGCCTTTCCGCCCCCACCATTGCATTTTCATGAATAAGTTTTATTGATGATGCACAAATAATTTTACAAAAATTGTTTATAAACAGTATAATTAATATTCTCAAATATAGTAGCGCATACAATACTTATATTGTAAGATTTTTTTATAAATATGTATTTTTTTTCAGAGAATTCCTTTGGGAAGCTGACCACGTGCTTATGACATCACAACCACGTTAACCAATACACATCGAGCTGGACTACTCGATCAGCTGTAGACCATAATTTCGCAGCCACAACAAATATGGCGGATACAGTTTGATAATTATTCGTATGATTGCTGAATATTGCGTGTAAACTTAGGAAGTCTCTCTTCTGGCGTGCCTTTGATTAAGTGAAAGTGATTATTCTGATCAAGATGACAAAACGCACATCCAAAGCTCAAAAGAAAGCCAACAAAGCGGCGAAAGTTGGAAATGGTGAGTGTACTATCATGTTCTCTACTTCTGGCGTTGCTTTCAGCCTGTCACCGTATTGCAACAAGTGTTGAATTGAATTGTCAATTGAAATGCCATCATTCAACGGTTCCACGAATTTGTCTCGTCCCTCTTTTTATCGGATGCTCTCCAAGCTTCCGGCGTCATAAACGAGAGGGGGCCTTATTGTATTATTATCATTGCACACTGTAAACACGTAAACATTTACGCTGCATTGTTTATCCCTATTTATTAGGTCACATAAATCACACTGGAGAATAACAAAACATCATTTAAGAATCCTACCCACAATTTCAAGCCACTCCCACAGTGAAACATACAACATTTTTTTTATTAATACCTATGTAATATTTGTAATAATCTATATGCACGTTTTATTATGTTATAAAAGCGATTCTATTTTTCTTATTATTAAAATTCTTCAAATTTGACATTGTTGTTTGTGGTTATGTAAGACAATTAAATAGTATGTTTATTGCTTTCATATTTGAACGCTGTTTACATTTTATTTTTTTAATATCTGTTGTCGATATTCTATAGATTGCATATATAAATGTAGCGTTATTACGACAAATTATATAGTTGCAAATTTGATTCTATCACGTATAATTTCAATTAAATACTGTATTCTCAGTGTCGATTGTTGTTAATATCTATGTACATATGGTTGCCTAAATATGATTTCATTAATACATTCATTACTTTATAATAAAACAATATTTAAGTGTAATATTTCATCCTAGAGAGACTTCTTTCCTTGTTTTGTTGATTTATTTTTACGTTTTGAGGGTTTATATCATCATAAAATCAATATTTTCCCCTAAACAAATCAATATTTATAACAGGAGAACGATGCACATGATTTATATTGTTGTCGAAAGTTACATTTATTAAAAAAAGGAATGTACATAACATCTGTCTATTTTCTATTTTCAAATAATATGGAAAATTCAAAATAGACAGACATCAAGATATTGAACTATCAAGTAAAAATATTTCAAGAAATATGTAAATACTTGGACAGCTATTATCTGCTGTGTATATATTTAGTTAATACAAATAAGCGGAAATTTGATATCGTTACTGATACACATTGTTATATAGTGAATGGTAATTAAAAGTATATTTTTGAATATGATTTTTTTTTTAATAGAGATTATTTGTAATACATATTGTATGTAAAATTAGTATGAAAAAAAAAACATTTTCATTGAACCTACGTTAACTCAATAATCGTTAAGATTAACACGCAAGTCGAAATTGTCTATAGAATT